ACGCTTGGAGACTAACAGCGTTAGGAATCGTCACGAACGACTTCTCCGTTACCTTCAGTCTGTCCGGAGTTCCTGAGGTCCAACATTTCGTCGCAAGAGAGAGGGAGTTGGCAGAGATGCGCAGAACACTAAACTCGGATGGAAGCCGTCGGGTCGTTGTTCTCCACGGTCTTGGTGGCATTGGTAAGACACAGCTCGCCGTCGCATACACAAAGCGGTACCGAGATGAATATTCCGCTATATTCTGGTTAAACATTAAGGACGAAGCCTCTATCCAACAAAGCTTCAGCAAAGTTGCGCGGCAAATCTTGCAGCAACATCCCGATGCTAGCCGTTTATGTGCTCCAAACCTACAGCAGAATCACGAAGAGGTAGCCGATGCTGTCAAGACCTGGCTCAGCCTGCCAGGCAATACTAGGTGGCTTATTGTATACGACAATTATGACAACCCGAAAATAGCCCACCCCACGGATAATGCTGCAATTGATATCCACCGCTATCTTCCCGAAGCGTACCAAGGCTCGATCATCATCACATCACGATCGTCGCAGATCAGTCTAGGTCATTCGATTCGAACGAGAAAGCTTGAGTCAATAGAGGACAGCCTGGAAATCCTCTCGACGACTTCAGGTCGATCCAGCTTGGAACATGGTAAGATTCTCACAGCTAAGCAGAGCTCCCCTAATCATTGCCACAGATATAGATGTTAGAAAGCTTGTGGAGGAACTTGACGGGCTTCCTCTTGCCCTTGCCACGGCTGGAGCATACCTAAGGCGCGTTACAATCGGCTTCGGTGACTATCTTCGCCTTTATAGAGAATCATGGGCAAGACTTCATACAAGTACCCCAAGCCTGGGTTCTTACCAAGATCGCACACTCTGCTCAACGTGGCAGCTCTCATACGAGCAAGTCCAGGAACAAAACCCACTCGCAGCCCATTTACTCCGATGGTGGGCATATTTTGACAACGATGACATATGGTTCGAACTTCTACAGCCTAACGATAAAGATGGTCCGCCGTGGATATACGAGTTGGCTGATGAATTGCAATTTAATTGCGCTATAGGCACACTGCATGACTATGGGCTTGCCGAAATGCACATGTTGACACAAGACCTATTCGGATCACGGGATACAGCATTCACACCTGCGTACACACTTGGACCATCCACGCATTGAATGAATATTGGGACATCAGTTTAGCTAAGCTTGCGTTAGACTGCGTAGCTGCACGCGTCCCATCACAAGACGAGCCTCAGTTCTGGCTGCTTCAAAGGCGACTTCTATCACATGCGACAAAGTGTTGCGCCACAATTCAAGACAGCGATCAAGACTTATATTGGGCTTTTCACAATCTAGGTCTCCTTTACGCCGACCAAGGCAAGCTGCAAGAGGCGGAGGACATGTATCTGCCGGGCGCTTCAAGGGAACGAGAAGGCGTGGGGACCCGATCATACGTCAACACTCTCTACGGTTAACAACCTAGGGAACCTTTACGCCGACCAAGGCAAGCTGCAAGAGGCGGAGGACATGTATCTGCGGGCGCTTCAAGGGTACGAGAAGGCATGGGGACCCGATCATACGTCAACACTAGACACGGTTAACAACCTAGGGAACCTTTACAAAAACCAAGGCAAGCTGCAAGAGGCGGAGGACATGTATCTGCGGGCGCTTCAAGGGTACGAGAAGGCGTGGGGACCCGATCATACGTCAACACTAGACACGGTTAACAACCTAGGGAACCTTTACAAAAACCAAGGCAAGCTGCAAGAGGCGGAGGACATGTATCTGCGGGCGCTTCAAGGGTACGAGAAGGCGTGGGGACCCGATCATACGTCAACACTCTCTACGGTTAACAACCTAGGTCTCCTTTACGCCGACCAAGGCAAGCTGCAAGAGGCGGAGGACATGTATCTGCGGGCGCTTCAAGGGAAGGAGAAGGCGTGGGGACCCGATCATACGTCAACACTAGACACGGTTAACAACCTAGGTCTCCTTTACGCCGACCAAGGCAAGCTGCAAGAGGCGGAGGACATGTATCTGCGGGCGCTTCAAGGGAAGGAGAAGGCGTGGGGACCCGATCATACGTCAACACTCTCTACGGTTAACAACCTAGGTCTCCTTTACGCCGACCAAGGCAAGCTGCAAGAGGCGGAGGACATGTATCTGCGGGCGCTTCAAGGGAAGGAGAAGGCGTGGGGACCCGATCATACGTCAACACTCTCTACGGTTAACAACCTAGGTCTCCTTTACGCCGACCAAGGCAAGCTGCAAGAGGCGGAGGACATGTATCTGCGGGCGCTTCAAGGGTACGAGAAGGCGTGGGGACCCGATCATACGTCAACACTAGACACGGTTAACAACCTAGGGAACCTTTACAAAAACCAAGGCAAGCTGCAAGAGGCGGAGGACATGTATCTGCGGGCGCTTCAAGGGAAGGAGAAGGCGTGGGGACCCGATCATACGTCAACACTAGACACGGTTAACAACCTAGGGAACCTTTACAAAAACCAAGGCAAGCTGCAAGAGGCGGAGGACATGTATCTGCGGGCGCTTCAAGGGTACGAGAAGGCATGGGGACCCGATCATACGTCAACACTCTCTACGGTTAACAACCTAGGTCTCCTTTACGCCGACCAAGGCAAGCTGCAAGAGGCGGAGGACATGTATCTGCGGGCGCTTCAAGGGAAGGAGAAGGCGTGGGGACCCGATCATACGTCAACACTCTCTACGGTTAACAACCTAGGTCTCCTTTACGCCGACCAAGGCAAGCTGCAAGAGGCGGAGGACATGTATCTGCGGGCGCTTCAAGGGAAGGAGAAGGCGTGGGGACCCGATCATACGTCAACACTCTCTACGGTTAACAACCTAGGTCTCCTTTACGCCGACCAAGGCAAGCTGCAAGAGGCGGAGGACATGTATCTGCGGGCGCTTCAAGGGTACGAGAAGGCGTGGGGACCCGATCATACGTCAACACTCTCTACGGTTAACAACCTAGGTCTCCTTTACGCCGACCAAGGCAAGCTGCAAGAGGCGGAGGACATGTATCTGCGGGCGCTTCAAGGGAAGGAGAAGGCGTGGGGACCCGATCATACGTCAACACTAGACACGGTTAACAACCTAGGGAACCTTTACGCCGACCAAGGCAAGCTGCAAGAGGCGGAGGACATGTATCTGCGGGCGCTTCAAGGGAAGGAGAAGGCGTGGGGACCCGATCATACGTCAACACTCTCTACGGTTAACAACCTAGGGAACCTTTACAAAAACCAAGGCAAGCTGCAAGAGGCGGAGGACATGTATCTGCGGGCGCTTCAAGGGAAGGAGAAGGCGTGGGGACCCGATCATACGTCAACACTCTCTACGGTTAACAACCTAGGTCTCCTTTACGCCGACCAAGGCAAGCTGCAAGAGGCGGAGGACATGTATCTGCGGGCGCTTCAAGGGTACGAGAAGGCGTGGGGACCCGATCATACGTCAACACTCTCTACGGTTAACAACCTAGGTCTCCTTTACGCCGACCAAGGCAAGCTGCAAGAGGCGGAGGACATGTATCTGCGGGCGCTTCAAGGGAAGGAGAAGGCGTGGGGACCCGATCATACGTCAACACTAGACACGGTTAACAACCTAGGTCTCCTTTACGCCGACCAAGGCAAGCTGCAAGAGGCGGAGGACATGTATCTGCGGGCGCTTCAAGGGTACGAGAAGGCGTGGGGACCCGATCATACGTCAACACTCTCTACGGTTAACAACCTAGGTCTCCTTTACGCCGACCAAGGCAAGCTGCAAGAGGCGGAGGACATGTATCTGCGGGCGCTTCAAGGGAAGGAGAAGGCGTGGGGACCCGATCATACGTCAACACTAGACACGGTTAACAACCTAGGTCTCCTTTACGCCGACCAAGGCAAGCTGCAAGAGGCGGAGGACATGTATCTGCGGGCGCTTCAAGGGTACGAGAAGGCGTGGGGACCCGATCATACGTCAACACTCTCTACGGTTAACAACCTAGGTCTCCTTTACGCCGACCAAGGCAAGCTGCAAGAGGCGGAGGACATGTATCTGCGGGCGCTTCAAGGGAAGGAGAAGGCGTGGGGACCCGATCATACGTCAACACTAGACACGGTTAACAACCTAGGTCTCCTTTACGCCGACCAAGGCAAGCTGCAAGAGGCGGAGGACATGTATCTGCGGGCGCTTCAAGGGTACGAGAAAACTACAGGTCCACCGAATGATATTAGATATCGGCGAGCAATCAATACTGCACAGAATCTAGGAGCCTTACTATCTGTTCAGGGTAAGGCAGCTGAGGCTAAAAGATTGTATGAACGAGCTTATACCAGTCTTCAAGCACTGCTTGGGCCTTCACATAAAGATACCCAATCGTTGCGGAATACTCTGTTGAATTTGAATGACACACTGTCAGGTAAGTTGGTGCCGTCGAACCTGACCTCCGTAGATCGAGTATTAAACTAGAATACAGGTACGATAACGCCACACCAATACACTCGATAATCGAGACCCAAGATCGATCGCCAGGCTGATTTGAGAAGGCCAACGGATCAAATCGATCAAGGACTACCTTAGCGTTGTCCCCAATACCCTTCATCAATCCCTTCTCATCCATATTGTATTCATCCTCGTCGGCCACTCCGTATTTGAGCTTGGTGGCGTGGTATAAAGCGAACCATTCGTTAATAATCTCGGGCGTCAGGGCTTCTCGTCGGACTTGGTCCAGTCCCCGGGACTTCTTAATAACCAAATCGATATGTCTAGCAAAAAAAGAGTCATGCCAATTGCCCCCTAAGGGTTCGTGGTCGCCCTTGGACTCAAGGAGATTGGTTGCGAAGGCGCGGATAGCGGTAATCGTCATAGGCCACCCCCAGGACGCCATCAAGCGGGCTGACTTAGCGATAGAGTCTTCCTCTTTAACTGTGAGGCGTTGTTGGTGTTCGTGGGCGGTCTTTCTGGTAGGAACGTTGTTGATTCGGTCTTGAAGTGTTGATCTGGGGACCTTGAAGGATATGGCGGCTTGGCGAACGCTGCTGATTTGGCCATCGCGGTAAGCCTTAATCGCGTTTAATAAAAAAATATTAAATACGCCGTAGGTGTTAACCCTCGGTACCTCTACAAGTACTCCCTTAAGGGGCTATAGATGATATAGCGGGCCCTTAAGCCGCGTCGGGCGGTTATACAGGTAAACTTGTAGCCAAACGACTACTAAACTTCCTGTCCCTCCCTAAGTCTGTGCTACAACCCCTGCCTGAACTACCGATAAGCGTGGTAATGTGGCACTTAAATTCGTCCTCAGGGGTGGGATGCTGCTGATGTGCAGAAGATGCTCGACTATTTTTTGTCGCGACAAGTCATAGTATCTGCTAATTGGGGTTCTCGTCGAGCGTATACATCTCAACCATACGCTCAAGTGGATAGACCGTAACGTGGTCTAGACGCTCGCATGAATCGCGGCGAGAGGGCGTGCTGCGCGCCTTCTATCGTGAGGGGACGGGTTCGCCGACGAGCGTTATCGGATAGGCGAGGTCCGATAAGGGGTCGGATTAACGATTCGAATTCTGGACCGGCTGTCGAGTTATATTCCGCCGACGTAGTGCTTGACGGTCGACTGGCTAGGATGCTCGTAATCCTAAACTGCACCAATCTCCCTATTATCGCTAGGTAGGCGAAGTCAACAAGGTGGGCAGCGCGCCGTAAGGGTTGACTAAACCCCCTTGTGTGTCAGCTGCGGGATTCGAACCCGCGACTCGTCACCGACCCAAGTGGGCGAGGCTCAAATCGGGACTTATCTACCAGCGAAGTGACCAACTACACCAGCCGACCGCGTTTAATATTCGAGTTTCTTGCGCTTCCATGGTCAAAAAGCACCAATAACGAAGTCCAAGGCACAAAAATTGATGGAGATAATTGAATTTGTTGTTGTAGTTGTTGTGGTTGACGTAGCGAAATTAAGTGGTGGCCGGGTTCTGGGGGTGGCCGGGTACTGGGGGTGGTACGTTATGGGGGTGTCTCGGATGTGGGTGTGTGACGTTACTGTCCATCGGGCTCATACACGACAGCCGCAGTATTGCTACTTTGGGCTTCAGCCAGTTCCCTCGCGAGGTGTATGAGCTCCTTCAAAAGGCTCGCAATCTTCCAAAGATCATCTTGCCTTACCACTTCCACCGAGTTGATCGGGTCATCGAATAGGTCTTTGTAGTTTTTGGTCCTGTCAGTAGGAATACCCGTTTATTGTCGTACTGGGCTATGAGGAGACGAGTTTGCCTACTGAAATACAGTTGTGGGAGATGAGAAAACAGCTGCGGGCACTTATTGTGCCGTGTCTTTATTTCAAGGAGACACTCTGAAGGTATGTGATGACCGTATGGCCGGATGCGAAAAGGGCTCGGACCATCACCGTTGGGATAATCCTCTCGGACTGCACCAGACATTCGAAGCCACCGAACTCGTAGAAGTGGACCCGGTGATGACTGACACTATCTCGCAGTTCTGTGTCAAACGTACAACTCATCTGCTTGAAGCCGCGGCCGCAGCACTTTTTGGTCTCCAGCTCCATGTATTCGACGCAGCGCGATAGCAAAAGAGTGACATCGAAGAGCATGTTGAAGCTCGATAGCTCCTTTTTTCGTAATAATGGAATTCCCAGACCAAGCCAGACTGGCGAGCTCGATGGTGTGTTCCAAGTGGAGGCCACTCATTGTGAGGATCCGAAGTTGGTCTGCGGCCGTCAGTTCGTGATCTGGGTGTTTATAGATGCATGCACCCTCTTCAAAGTAGCGGTATGGCTTTGAAATTCGGCAATCTTGATTTGATTTCTGGTTTGACCGCCATTCGTGGATAACGTCGGGGTCGTGATTCCAAGTTTTATAGCAACTAGGATCATCGCAGGGAAGACCATTAACCAGTCTACCACATATCTTTTGGTGGCATCTCTGGTACCTTTGGGATCTTCCCATTTTCAGTTGAAATATCAAGTTAACCGAGAAGGGTTACAAATAACTACCAGAAGGTATGTGGGATTCACGCGATTGAGAGCCTGATACATACGTGGGATCAACGCATGCTCAAGCTGACAGCAGGCTTCTGATGACCAGAGTTTTATACGATTTAAGGTAGCATCGAATCCCTTCCAGCATAAGTACGATGCTTGCAAGTTCGTTATTGCATTTGGGCATACAATTTTCATGTTCTTCTACATATCCAGGAAAGGTCTGGCTGTATGATGAGTATCATGTAACTTGCACCAATCAATCAATTTCAGGTAAGTTACCGCTATACTATTCTATTGGCTAGGGATTAAAAATCCACATGCTTCTGCCTATGTGTCTCGACGAGGTTGGTCTAAGCATTTTCATAATCTGCCACGTCTGCTGCGGCTTCTCCTGATGGTTGCGCAACATAGAATCGTGTACCGTGTCTTCCTTTTTTTTTCCTTTTGCAATTGATACTGTACGCTTTGTTCTGCTCTCGATAGCCTGGCATATTTTCATGGCTTGCTAAGAGTATGGCTTCCTTTAGATGGATAGCCTAACTGCAGGGCTTAAAGACCAGTCTGGTTCTCTGTTAGCTGCAGATGCCCTGCGAAATGCCAATACTCCGCTCGATTCAGCCCACAAGGCTGGCTCTGAGCACGTCCCACGATAATGTGATTCATGTCAGATCAATATGTTAGATGAAGAGTTCGGTGATAGTGTTTAATGTGTCGCCCGAAGGAATCCATCACAATACCACAGTATTCCCCAGGACCAACATCTTTCTGAGCCCCTTTTGCCGCATGTGATTCACGGCCTCCAGCACGTAGTCGCCCTGAACCTCAGCATGAGCGGGTCCATTTCCAAGGGCCAAGGTAGTCTGGGTTCCTTAGGTGTCAAACATGTTAGGAACCCCCGAGACGGCCATGCTGGGATACGCATACATGTCACCCTCGACTAGTCTTTCAACGACTCCTTATGCCCATAATGAGGCTTTGGCATCTGAATGCAACCCCGCGTCGTTTATGCGCTGTATTAAACCGTCATTTAAATGGAATTAAGGCATCTCAAGCAGAGTCGAACTTGCTGTGCAGGAGGTAAGGTTAGTTCATGCTGTATTGATGGATGATTGTCGTGTCTGCGCCGTGGGTAGAATAGAAACAGATATTGTCGACACGCAAGTAACTCTGGATCCACACCGATGCCGGCATGATATGACTACCTTAGCTTGCGAAGTAGAAGCTGATGACTTTGAGATACTTCTATAAATTCTGTTTCGTGGTTGGCAGACAGACAGACTGTCCTCACCCCACTTCCCCGCATTCATCTGCCCACCTGGAGTACCTTTTCCCAGAGCGCGGGCTGTTTCGAATTTGGGCCAATATAATCAAGAAACAGTAGAATATCGCCAAACCATGCCAGTATTTTCTATACGTCACTGTATCGTGGCAGCTGCAGGCTTTCATGTACAAGCTCAGGCGCAGGTCAGATGGCAAGACTATACAGCGCAGATCAGGACACCATCCACATGCCCCGACTATACCGAGTATGCGCAGATAGCCCACGAGCCGTACTCAGCCGGGCCCCTTGGACTTCCCAACATGAGACCCAGCCCGGAGTGCAGGACTTTCAACAGCACGGCCGTGGAGGTAGGTCCCAGACTCTAGATTTCAGACTCTAAGTTATTGCGTAAAACTGACCGCAAGCGGCAGAAAGTTATCACTGATATGCAGGCTCGGCTAAAGAACCCCGACCTCGCTCAGCTGTTTGCAAATACGTTTGCCTCGACTTTGGATACCACAGTCAAGTACTTTGATACGGATCTGAATCTAGCCTTCATCATCACTGGAGTGAGTCGGTCTCGTTGCTTTGGCCGAGTCAACCTGCTGACATTATTCTTTCTTGCCCAGGACATCACGTCAGTCTTCCATGTTCCATGATCTCCCACTTGTTACATGAGCGAATTTAGTACATTGCGGTCTAGTAAAATTCACTGATTTTACGTGCACCGCAGTGCTCAATGGCTCCGTGACACCGGAAACCAGTTCGCGCACCTGTACAAGTTGCTGCCGCAGGACCCCGACCTTCAGGCTCTGGTCAAGGCTGTCATAAACACAGAGTCGCGCTACATAGCTGAATATCCATATTGTGGTGAGTATTGTATTTGGTCTTGGAGTGATCATACGGGCTGGTCGTTGAGGCAAGAAATACAGGTTCTTTCCAGCCACCGCCCGAGAGCGGACTCGCTCCCAGCGTCAATGTAAGTAGTACAAACATGTCTGCTTGAGTACCGCTGTAACTTAACTAATACGATGATAGGACTATGCGACTGGTGTCACAATCCACCCGTATGTGTATATATGCATTTCTCACACGAGCTGCTTTTAATCCTGTCTCACAGACCAGTGGACAATCAGACAGTCTTCGAATGCAAGGTGCGTCCAAGTCGCAGCATCATGACCATGAAACCGGCCTGGAAATGAAAAGGTTGACAAGCAACGTGGTTACAGTATGAACTGGACTCGCTCTCAGCTTTCCTGAAAATCTCCAGATCCTATTACGCCAACACCAACGATTCCTCCTTCATAAATGACAATTGTGAGCCAAAACAACGCTGCTTCTGGACCGTCATATTTATGATGGCTTGGCTGACTACAACAAGGGGAATCGGCCATCAGCTCCGTTATGACCCTTATACACGACCAGTCCCAGAGCTCTTGGGGCCCGGACTGGGACTTTGTGAGTTACTACAACTGGACAGGGACTGCCGGCTCTCTCTCCTCTCCCGTGAAGAACGGAGGAAACGGAGAACCCAAGCTGGCAAACGGGCTAGTAGCCTCCAGCCACCGGCCATCGGACGATATATGCGTCTTCAGTATGTGCCCATCACCTGCTTACTGCACTGGAGCAAAATGGCTGACAAGAAACCTTGCTCCAGACTTCATCACGTCTGACAATGCCATGATGTCGGTCGAGCTGGCTTACTTGGCCGACACGCTGGATCAGATCGGCACCCTCCAAGAAGTTTCAAGCCAAGCCCGACAGTATTCTCACATCATCAGCCAAGCCGTATGGAACCACACCATCAGTTCGGGTGGAGTCTTCGCGTACGAGACCAATGGCTACAGCGGGCAATACTTGATGGACGATGCCAATGTCCCTAGTTTAATATCACTGCCTTACCTGGGGTTCTTGGACAAAAGCGATTCGACGTACGTCAGGACGAAAGAGGCCATGTTCTCGAGGGCGAATCCCTATTACGCAGTTGGGCAGAACTTCAGCGGTATCGGGTAAGTTTGTGTAGCCCCACTCTCAGCGACTGGATGACTTGAGGCACAAGGCGTCTAACTGATTATGAACTTATGTAGAGGTCCGCACGTCAACGCGACGTACCCCTGGCCCATGTCGCAGATATCAGCCATCTACGGCACCGACGACGACGACGAGATCACGAGCCGGCTGTCGCTTCTTATGAACAACACGGGAGGGCTCGGTCTCATTCACGAAAGCATCCACATTTACAACTCGAGCGTCTACACACGTCCGTGGTTTGCTTGGGCGAACAGCTACTTTGCCGAAATGGTTCTGGATTTGGCCGAGAGAAAGCCGGGATTGATTCTTAATGACGCGGTTCCGTACGTGGTTGGTAGCTGAGCTGGCTGAACAAGGAGCAACAGTTGAGAAGGGGTGTGAGTTCAAGTAAATTGATATGATTGATTACGACTTATTTGAGTTTCATGCGGGAGGACACAGGAAAGTAATAAAAAAAAGAAAAAAAAGAAGAAAACCAAATGGAGTATTGTCCATCGACCCATAAATATCTTCCAGTTCCGCGCTATGTCGCCCCAGTATGCTCTTGGATACTCTCTCATGTGGCCGACGTGATGCTACTCGTCAAACCTCTGCATCATGAATCCATACCTTAACGTTACAGTCACCTTCTAAGGTATACGGCATTAGAAAGAAAAATCGTTACCCTTTCTTTTCTGGAAGAAATTAATGAAAGGAAACGTAGCAGTTGATGTTTAATATAATGCAACGAAAACCTCAACATGCTAGACTTGAATTCGATTGAGGTTACGAAGGAGAGTAGCAATCAGTAACTATAGTAAGTTTATGCTTAACGTCCCACACCCACATCCGGGACACCCCCACATGTGGGACACCCAAAAATGCCTTATCAACACCGCTAGCCTCTAACTTCAACCTCTTTTATCTTTACCAATATCGATTCAATCGTTACAAAATTTTACGTACGTCTTCTTTACACTAATATGAATCAATATACCGAAGATGATATTTATCGAGCTCTTTGTCACGACCTGGGTTGCATCGCATTGGTAGAGACCTCGATTAGGTGCTATCGACGAAGATTCTACTCTAAGGAGCGAAGGAAAGAAGATGACAACTTAGGTTTGAGGGAGCGCGACTAAGTCATCCACGCTTGGCGGGGCTCCTACAAGGGTTATGATTGGCTTCCCATCTGACACTGCCATGGCAGGTGTTCCAGCTGTAAGTCACCTGGTTGTAGTGAGTCTGCGAGGGTTGACCTTCACACTCTTCAAGCAATAGCTACCGGTCAAAGCCTCCGAAAAGCAGCATATGAGCATGGTGTCCCATGGTCTACTCTTTCACGACGGATTCAGGGAGCCCAGTCAAGAGATATAGCCTTCGCTGACTACCAGAGGCTCTCTCCAGCCCAGGAATCCCATCTGGCTGAATGGGTTCGAATCCAGGCTGCCCTAGGCCTCCCACCAACCCATCAACAGCTCAAAGACTTCGCCGAGCGTATCCTACAGATCCACGGAGACACCGAACCACTTGGAAAGAACTGGATCCAGGCTTTTATCAAGAGGAACCCTTCAGTCAAGGTCCAGAGAAGCAGAGCTATCGATTCCCAGCGTATTAATGGAGCCTCAGCTAATATAATCAGGTAATGGTTTAAATACCTCGCTATCCCTGAGATCAAAGCTATTAAGGCCTCTAATCGATACAATATGGATGATACAAGTATTCTAGAAGGTAGAGGATCAAATAGTCTTGTTCTAGGATCATCTGAGACTCGTTCTATACGGAAGAAACAGCCTGGATCTCGAGCTTGGACATCTCTTATAGAGTGTATCTCTGCGACTGGTACTGCACTACCCCCACTTGTGATATGCAAGGGGAAGTCTGTCCAGCAGCAGTGGTTTCCTCTGGACTTGACTCCATACGAAGCCTGGAGGTTTACAGCAACAGAGAATGGGTGGACGTCAGACTCTACGGCTATTGAGTGGCTACAAAAGATCTTTATTCCTTTGACTCAACCAAAGGACCCTGAAGAGACTAGGTTACTTATCCGAGATGGGCATAGTAGCCACGAAACGACAGAGTTTATGTACCTCTGCTTCATAAACAAGATACACTTGCTTTTCTTGCCGCCACACACATCCCATGTTCTCCAGCCTCTCGATCAGTCAGTCTTTGGACCCCTCAAGGCAGCCTATAAGAAAGAGCTTGGTTACCTTAATCAATGGGATACTACTACTGTCGTAGGGAAGAGAAACTTTCTCCTCTGCTATAGAAAGGCACGTCTAGCAGCATTGACCGTCAAGAACATTATCAGTGGATGGAAATATACTGGTCTCTGGCCTTCGAGCATAGCTAGACCCTTTATGAGCTCCCTGCTCCTTGAGAATACGTCAGCACCAATCAAACAGCCTAGTCAGACTTGCAAAGGGCACTATAGTAGTCAGGACTGGGCGTTAGAGACATCAGCAGTAGCCTGGTCAACGCCTAAGAGGAGAGATGAGCTCCAAGATCAACTCAGCTTATTCAGCAAGCTTGATAGTGATCCAAATACCCAGCGGCTACTCTTTCGGAAAGTTCAAAAGGGCTTTGATGAGAAGGACTACCAGTTAGCTGTCGCACAGCGAAATATTGAGGCACTAGAGGCAGCGCTTGAGGCTAGTAGGGCTAGGAAGCGGAGGAAGGTCAAGATGAGCCCTAATTCGAAGTTTACTAATATCAAGGCTATTCGGAAGGCTCAAATCGAGGCTGGTGAAATTGAGGATAGTACAGATGAGTCTAGCGAGTCTGAAAACCCTAGTGACGGTGAAAGCTGTATTGTAGTCGCATCAGAATAAGTGTAAAAAAAGGTTGAAGTCAATGGTTATAATATACAGCATCATTTTTAGGGCGTCCCACATGTGGGGGTGTCCCGGATGTGCGTGTGGGACGTTAGCCGGAGAGCCTATTTCAATTCAATGCAACACTATTTGCACTCAACGAGTCCGAAAAGAGTTTCATCTTCATCAATGCAATTCTGGTTGCCCATCCCCAACCAATGACCACAACTATCCTGGTAAATTCTTTCCGCACCAACTCATCAAAAAAGCACTAGTGACCGACGGTACTTAGAGTAAGTATCTATCAAGTCTAGCGAGTAAGCGATCGCCTGTGAGGCTTTACCTCGTGAAGGGGGCACGTAAAGTTAACACGGTGCATAGTTGTCGGTTTTCTGTTGATTTGTGGCAAGCTTTTCGAACAGAAGGTAAATAGCACTATGCAATTTCCCATTAATTCTGCCTCACGTTGCGTACTAGCCAGACCTGAATGTCAGATTCCTGTGTTGTTATGGCCTAAATGTCGAGAGGCCCTAACTGGCAAAAGTAACTTCTACCTCGCAAAATAAATATTTGTAAATTTCTATCGTTAAGCAAATCATAAATCAAGGCGCAGCAGGCAAATGGTGACTGTCAGATAATATGCCGGCACAATATGGATTGGATAAGATACGGAGGCCTACGCGCCTGAAAAGGTTAGTTGGTGTGTGTAAAACGATGGATTTATCTATGTTTGAATATGCGAAGAGGTGTAAGGCCTACAGGCCGGTTTTGATAACCAGCCTCCACTTCACAGTGATTCTCTCGGTTTTGAATACCGAAGGGGATGTACGATTGACATACTGGCAAGATTTAGTCTTGGTAAGTTGAAGTTACTGACAAAGCTTATAAAGAAAGATTCTGAATAGAAGGCATAGCCGTGAGATCGCGTTCATCTCAGATTATCTAGGTAACGAACGTCACTGCAATACCTTTACCTGGTTTGTGACTTTTGGGGATGATCTCATAGGTAATACTTGAACGGTGGGAATAAACGGTCTCCCAAAAGGTGAAACAATGAAGTAATTATAGCGCTACTTATAGCGCTTTATTACAGAGAGACCTCGGGGTATACCATGTTATTCGACTGTTCGCATACTTCATGTTCTCGTGACACTCATTTGACTTTAGCGTTGCTGACATTGAAAACACTGCAATTGCACCGCCCCTCGCTCGCTGGTGCTGTTAGATCCCGAGTATTGGGTACTGTTTTGGTATTATGAACGTGCATGGGAGACCAATCCCAGTTTGGCCCCCGGTGGATGCCCAAATACTACAATCCGTGCCTTGTATCCCTCCATACCTAACGCCACATTCGCCCACTGCAGTTGTGTATATGGCGTTGGCTGGATCACATTGCACCCAAGTTGTGGTTGGTATGCAGTAATTGAAGTTGCTGCATGGCACCGTTCTCTTATCCATAATGCCACATCCGTTTGAACTTTGCACTTTGGGGCTTGGAGCGGCGACGCTCTGGCTGTCCAGATTGAGGATGTTGACTTTGGTGCTGACCCCCCTGGATGCCTCGAGGTAAGGTTGCAACTTTGATTTTCACTTTCGCCTCCCTTAAGCATTTGAACAACAAGCGTTAGAAGATATATGGGCTGACTAGTTCCGCAGACGTATCAACGTGAAGTCTTGAGGTCCTACAGTAGCAACGAAGTCAAGGCCTGAACTAGAAGTCCTGAAACGAGTTGTCATTCCGAAGTAACGGCCAGCTGCAACCACCCGACGTGCTAGGACCCCGCAACTTTGCCATGTGGTGGAGGCTCAGGCGCCTTCAATCATGCATATAGCTTCCGAGGCTCCCAAAGACCCCGTCGTTTGTGGACACGATTAAAGAAGAAGGGGCTTCCACTACCACATTCTTCCAGTCTTGCCAATCCACGTCCGAAAGGGGCGGGCCTAGAATCCCCTTTGATTCGATGGATCCAGAAGGTGACTGGCGACTTTTCTTTATTCAAGCCCAGAGACAGCTTCAATGGCTAACGTCCACCACCATGAACAGCACAGCAAGCCCTCCAGCAGGCAGCTGCCCTCGCCGACGCCGAAACCACGTCGCCGATCTCATCACAGTCACCTTCCCACGCAGCTCCACGGTTCGAGCTCGACACTCAGTGGGACACGACGCCTGCGAGGCCCGACGCGACGGACCAACATGATGCGCACGCGCACTCACACTTACCCTACCCGGAATTTCCCACAGCTGCATCGACGTCAGATTTTCAACAAGCTATCCACGATGCCCACCAAGTTGCTGATCATGATGCATCGCCTGAGGTGTCGAGTCCTGACGGTCTCGGTGTAACTCACGGCCGCATTCCTGGCACCCAGAAGTACACGTCAATGGCGCCTCCGCCGACGCGCATCGCCGGTGCCCCGCCTGACAACATTATCGAGTGGCGGCACAAATTCTTCAACATCTCCCAGAACGCCCTGACACTGCCCAAGCAGCAGTGGGACGAGCTCTGGATTTGGATCGACAACATCTGGACCCCGCGCCGCGTCCCCTACACCAAGAAGGACGGCACTGTGCACTACGAATGGAGATGTCGCTACCACAAGAAGGTGCCTCTTCCCAGCCAGAGCACCGGCAAGCGCAAGCGCGAGATTCGTAAGGGCTATGGCTGTCCCGCTCGCATGACGGCCAACCTGATGCCCAGCACCCGCATTTTCACCGTCGACGGCTTCGAGCTGCACAACCACCCCCTTGAGGACCTCGACTCTACCAAGATCTGCAGCGGCGTGCGCAAGTGGACCGCAATGCATGTGCAGATGGGCCTCCCGCCCAAGCAGATTGAGGCCCTTATCAACGGTAAGGACAACCCCGACGGCAGTGGTGTGCGCGAGGCACTTGACATGGCCGGCGGCAAGCTGCTCGACGAAAAAACGATCCGCAACGTCGCGCGCAAGTGGCGCTGGCCCGCCGCCAAGTTTGGTATGCGCCAGGACGAGCTGTTCCGTGAGCTGCACTCCCAACACAACACCTTTCCCTTCGCCATCCAAGAGCCCGAATCCTTCCACCGCGACGTCTGCGAGGTGTCAAATGTCGCCGAGACGGCCGAGGACCTGCATCGCCTGCTCGATGAGCGTAAGGAGATGCGACTACGCGAGCTCGACCAACGATTTGATGGCGCTGCAACGTACCTGACTCATGACCCTTCGCAGGCGGGCCATCAACACTGGGATCATGTGTTGCAGCTATTTAAGGATCGTTCATACGATGCCCTCGTGCGCTACTTTGCTGCCTTCGTGCCCGAAGAAGCCCAGCAACAGGATGAGTTTCTGCGGGGAATAGAGGCTCCACAGCCACCAACTATGGGCTCTTGAAATAGCATATCTGGTATTGCTGTCGCCGTGCTCTAGCTTCAGAAGGCCAGACAGCGATGCTAATCGCATATGGATTTGTTCCTGACACAGGTCAGAATTTGAATGACAAATCACTTTGATTTTCTTACTGATAATGTTTGCTTTGCTCCGTATCACTCCAAGCCAGCCAAGTGCGCTCTGCACCCCATATGTTACCATTCATATCCTTATGTGCAAGATCTCTACTGTGCATCGCCCCAAGACTGAGTTGACACCATGATTCGGGTTTTCAAATTCAGAGCCTGGCAGTCCTTGAAGTGGTTCAGCATGGATGAAGCTTCCAGTGTGCATGCCTTAGCATCTGGGAAAGGACCATCAGGAATCTAGCAAAATGATACCATAATACCATTATGCTGCTATTCCTACAACCCCCAAAGGAGAAGGAGCTTCCACATAACCATTATTTGATTCTTCACTGTGAAGAATTGTCGTTGTCGTTGAGTTGACTTAACGAAAAGCCGAGTAAATGCACCCAAGGGTCGAATGGCTGGGTCAAATTGTGTTGCTTGGAGTGGAGGTCTCAAATAAATTCGTTTGTTCAAGCCAGATACTCCTATATTTTCAATCCGGAATTAAGTAGGCATCTGGTCAAGGATAGCACGGAACAGAGGCCTTCTACATATGGTTTAATTTTGCCAGTCATTGAGGGATTCAACCCTCAGATGATGACTCTGTACAGATCCTGTATTGGTTACGATGCTCGATGCGCAGTGTGATGTGTGTATTGACTGCTCGGAGTCCTGTAAGAAGTTACATCTAAGGTAGGTAGGCAGGTGCCGACCTTATCTACACAAGCGATTTCACTGCCTTAGGCACCACCTCAGGCACACATATGGCGCTCAATCCCACAGTCATAGCGATAATAAATACAGCTTGAAAATCACCATAATCACTTCCTTCTCTGAGACTACAGCACTACATCTAACCAAATTCAGCATATACCTTTGCAGCTCATAAGCTTGAGCCTCTCAAGCTTCGCCCAACACCCTGCTCGTATGTTCAAGTACAGTCGTTCCTCTTTTCCACGTAATTAATAAACGTAAGCAGTCGTCCCTTCATTTCAAACATATATACAGCCTAACATGACTAGAAAATGTGTTTCGAGGCCATCAGCATACTTAACCCCTACCACCCGCCCCCAAGAAAAGAACCTGCTTTCAATTTTGTGCCCAATCTGGCCTGTCCTTCATTCAAGTGACTTGGTATGGAAACCCAAAACACAATCCGGACCCAAATAGCCGAGGAAACGTTCAATTCACTTTTGGCATCAATAAAATGGCAACTTGAGGGACAGTCGGTTCCTAGCGCACTGGCTTAGTCTATCAGGTTGTTCCCAGGGCGTTAACCTCAACACTAAGCCACTCAGATTGAGCTGCAAATTGCAGGCGTTTGTGCTGATGGCGAGGCCTACTACGTAGGTCCAATAGTGTTAGCATTCGCACGCCACCGTTTCAACTGCCTTGTCACACCAATCTTCTAACCAACTACAAAATACAACCAATTAGCAAAGAGCAACTTCATCAGCCAACATTTGAAGCGAAACGCGGCGACATACAAAATCTTGTTCAGCCAAAGTTTACACTTGCAAATATTCTCCTATTTCTTGTCATTCCAGCAGTACATACGGCTCCCGACCCGAACCCTCCACCATTTACGCCAGTTGGCTTCAAGTCAGCTAGAGCCACGGTATTGGAAACACTCGCGCCTACCTTAGCGGCTGGGCCGAGTCTTAAAGGCGCCAATATCTCGGATGGACTCGACAATAGTAACATCACCCGGAACAATAACATGACGGGCATGAACGGACATGGTGCCCAAACCACTGATTATATTGACAGTGCCACCTGGGTCACATACACGAGCACTGTATATAGGACGCTACTTTCCTTCTCAGAGGATCGTAGTAGCCCACAGCTCGAGGTGAAAAGCCAACTACTCGCAAAGCGAAAGTCACCTCGCATCTAGGATAATTTGCACTTGGACCAAACCTTGGAGTGTAACCCATCGTCAAGCCCGAATAAGTGGAGATCGCACTGCGGATCCCGTGGCACACTCTGCGACGTGGCGGGGCAAGTAATAGTACTGGGTGTGCAGACCCGTCGACGAATTGGACGGCCAGGGAGGCAAGGAACACGACGAATAGATAAAACTGGATCTTGGGGTATCAGATGGCTCTTAACCTTTCCTCATGTTCCTGCTGAGATTCGAAACGAACTCTCATTGATTCTTGTTCATGAAGTGAAAATGGACTGCGGACTTTCATCCTCCGGCGCGTCTCCCGCAAATCTCAACCACTGCGCAGTGGCCGTTGTTTGCTATTGGTGGATCAGCTGTACGTAGCTTAGAGTAGCTAGACACCGCAATACACAGTATCTGTCGGATAATACGCTGGTACAATACGGAGGATTGGAAGACATCAAGGATTGCGCGCCTGAAAACCGTAACTGCACAATTGGGGGTCTCACAATTACGATTACCCTTGCAAGACCAAGCAGCAATCATGCTGTTGAGAATCCAGAGTATTCAAGAAGTATCAAATGCTTCGGTGTCGTCATAATCCTAGTTTCTGAATACAGTTTCTGAATGCCGTCTCTGAAATTATGCTGCGTATAGTGAAACATGGTCAAATTTACCGTATTGCATGTCTTCCCAAACTGTTTCCCGCAGAATCTCGAAGGGCCTATAAGCACTCCATTGAAGTCCTTCTGGGCCATTGAGCACCGAAATATTCATACAATGTGCTGTAAGTAAGCAGTATCACAAAAGGCTTGGCGATAAAAGTATTGGGGCATTGTACAAAAGAAAAGTGCAGACCGCAGAGAATGTTAACCTGAGGCGGAACATAGAAAGCACGTCACAGTTGGGAACTTCAGCACCGTTAGCAGCCCCGTTGCCGCATGCAACAAGTGCCGGAAAGAGCCGCGCGGCTAAACTGGTGCTCTACAGTCGTAAGCAGGTCGATTGGAAGCAACCGTGGCGTTCTCATTGGCCGAATCAGTATAGAATGCTCCGAACAGCCAACCAGCAAACAGCAACCAGCATCAGCGGCCCCATACCTACGAAGTAGTTAAGCGCAACTGCGACTCGTCCGCCAAGGGTACCGTACCGCGCCGACGTTCTCCCAGCCACCACTACCTGCATCGTCAACTTTGCAACGCAACTTCCAACAGTCAAGGTGTGCCTTCGTTTGCTTCATGGCGCGTGCTGTGCTGGTCAGTTTCTTCAATTCCATTATCAAATCCTTCGCACAATAGGGCCATTGCCATTGATCCTGGTCTCTCGTCTCTTTTCGTCTCCCCAGGCGGCTCCTCGTGCATCTAATTCAATTCCATCTCACCTCCCCACCTCCAGCCCCTGCGCTGCGTTCTTGACGGAACGAGCTCGACGGCAAAGAGCGGTTGATCCAATGTAAATGCCCACCAGCCCATAACATATTCGGCAACTTAGAAACTCACAACTAACCGCGCTGCTCCACCGTCGGTCAACCGTCGTCATCCTCAAGCCGAGTCGCGTCCAGACCAGACCAGCAAAAGACCGCGTGCACAGCTCCGTCGGCGCTGCTCAACAAATTATCCCGTGCGCAGTCTCTAGGACATCGATTCCTTGAGCTTTCACAGTTGATCGCGTTTCTTCTTTTGACCCCACCTGGACACGGCACTGCGTGTTGTCGACGTCGCAGCTCCGCTAGAGTTTCGGAACCCGATTGCATGAGCGCTCTCGTTCTGCATCTCTCTTTGGGCAAGAAGAGAAGCCATACTCACATCCTTGGACGCGTGGGCTTGAGTTATCTAAGCTTGATCATTGATAGTGGAGACGGCTTGCCTCTTCTTCGCCGGGCTTCCTTCTTGAATTCCTTCGTTCTTTCACTTAACCCGCTTCTGGAGATCCAACCTGCCCATAACGATCGATTCGAGCAAGTGCGTGCTGCGCGATTCCATCGAACGCCCGCAACTGATCCCCACCTCTCGTCCAGTACCAGTTGATTCGGTACTCATGCTATCGTTGCGTCCACTTTGACCCGGACCTCGGCCATATTCTATCCAGCACCGACACCTCACCCTCAAAATGTCGGCCTCACTGAGCCTCGAGGATGAGGTGCGCTACACAGAGATAATCGACGGCATCCTCGCGACGGCCAACCTCGAGACGGTCACGCGAAAGAAGATCCGCGTTGGACTTGAGGCAGCGCTGGGCGGGAAGGACTTGACAGATCAGAAAGCCGCCATCAAGAACCTGATCGAGCAGCGCTTTGACGCCATCTCCGAGCCCTCCGTACCGGCGCAAAGCAACGGCCACAACGACCCTGTACACGACGAGCCCGATGTCGAAGCCGATGTCGAAGCCAATGCCGACGAAATTACAGTCCAGCCGCCCAAGAAGAAGCAGCGCAAGAGCGCCAGCGTAGGCACAGAAGACGCAGATGCCAAGCTCGCAGCAATGCTGCAGGCCGAGGAGAATTCACGAGGGGGCCGGGCAACACGCGGTGGGGGAGCCAAGGCCAAGCCCGTCAAGAAGCGCAAGAAGAAGAGTTCGGCCAAGGTCGAAAGTGGTGGGAGTGACGTCGACGAGGAGATTGAGCCCAAGAAGCGCAAGGCCGGTGGAGGCTTCCAAAAGCCCTTCAATCTGAGTGAGCCGCTCGCCGAGCTGACGGGTGAATCTAGGGTGAGTGCTCCTTGTTGCGTTTGTTGGAGCCACGAGGCACCGTCCCATGTCAATCCCGCCATCCCGCCATCCCGCCACCACGGTCAATTTCTATCCGGTTAAGGCCACTGACACAGTTACAGCTTTCGAGACCCCAAGTCGTCAAGAAGTTGTGGGAATACATCAAGGCAGGCGACCTGCAGGATCCCAGCGACAAGCGCCAAATTCGATGTGACGACAAGATGCTTGCCGTCTTCAAGCAGGCTAAAATCGACATGTTCCAGATGAACAAGGTCATTGGTAATCATCTTTACCCCGTTGAGGAGGAATGATTGGTAAACGGAATCAACACGCTGCCGGGTGCTATTTTACTCGGTTTAGGACTGACGGGTTGGGATATCGGTGTGAACTACTCAAACGGCAGAGCATTTACCTCAAATTAACCCGTTGCGTTGAAAAGCCAACGGCACGGCTGGATTGCAACACAACATGGCAGCATGGTTTGGCGTGGGCAAGAGGAGTCCGATTTTTTCTTATTCATTACATCTTGGCCTGCCAGTTTGGGATCAAGGATATCATATGCGGTAATGCTGGCTGGCGTATCTAACCCACCTTTAGTTACTAATGGCCTGGCGTTCTTGGGCGAAGGGGAGAAGTCTAGCCTCTCAATACGATTGAGTTTGTGATATTGCGTGACGGCATTGCCGTACCAGCCGCCTATACTGCGTGGGACCAAACGTTTTCGTTTCTGAGATGAAGTGGCGAAGTATCCCGACTCTGCTCGCAGCCCACCGTACCACTCTATTGATGTCAGTCGATTGCGACTCATCTAGCTTCCATTACATTGCAGGCTTCCTAGAGCGGTGTAAGCCCGTTGCCGCATGTGTTACACTTAGCATGACTGGATGACTGTACCTGCCAAACAGTCATGAAAAGTAAGCGGCAGGTAAAAGTACTTAAGTCAATGAGATGGTTCAAACAAGTATCACCAAGAGCTTGAATGTGGAATGCGAGTGCTCAACTACTTGCAAGGGTCTATTGGGCTTGGGATGATGATGGACTTGAATGAGTCGAGACTTGATAAGCAGGTCAGTCACCTATCCTAGGATGCTATGCACTGCCCTTCATCAATTTTATTCAATTTAATGTGGTTGCACCTTTTAATGTAGGTTTGAACTGGCACCTGGGGGGACATCAAAGGCTTAGTGGGGAAAGTCGAGTGGAACATTGAGCATTGAATAAGTGTAATCTTTGTGCCCCTCGGTCGGTGGCGGTGCAGCCGAGTTGAATCCCGGCTTTTGGAACAGTGTTGGACTTTTCTCCGATCAAATGCTGCGTGCCTCTTCATGCTACCGTAATCTTCCACGTACTTTACGTATTTTCGACCTTTACAATTTAACTGAACTGAGCAGCGCGGCCTCGATTGCCAGCTGAAGTATTTTGTCATTTTCCACGCATCGACATCCATAATAACAATAAGAACCATATAGACCTGCCCTCAAACCCAGGTCGCTTGACCTGCCAGGTCGGCCCAACTCGAGCCAAGAGATACCACCATCTTCACACTTACTTGGTACGCCGTTGTCGATTATTTATCGCCCCTTGGAATCTTTTGGCTCGACGGACGCCTCGAACGGGCCACGACATTGGGAAATAATCACGTCATGGATGCTCCAGCCGCGGGTCCAGCTCCGTCAGACGGATCCGCAGACAACTCGGCTCGTCGAGGCGGCGGTCAAGCCAGAGGCAGGGGCCGCGGAGGGCGAGGGCGAGGACAGCACAACCAGAGCAACGCAAACAACCGAGGAGGAAGACCGCCGAGAAGTCGCGGCAGAGGAGCAGCAGGCGACAGAACAGGTAGTCGAGCCGGGTTTGATGGCCGTCTCACCGCCGCAGGTTCCGTCCAGCCTGGGGGGTCATTGCCACAACCTCCCCCGCCGAGTTTGAGAGACGCGGGTGCCGAAAATGGCGGCGGCGACGACGACGACGTCGAGACCGAGGTGTGCTTCATCTGTGCTAGCACCGTTGTCCACCAGTCCGTGGCCCCCTGCAACCACCGCACATGTCACATCTGCGCCCTGCGCATGCGAGCCCTCTACAAGAACAAGGAGTGCGCCCACTGCCGAACACCAGCCCAGTACGTCATCTTCACCGACGACGCGACGAAACGATTCGAGGACTACAGCGAAGGCGCCCCCGACATCACGAGCACCGACGAGAACATTGGAATCCGATACAACAAGGAGGACATCGTCGGCGATACGGTCCTGCTTCTGCGCTATAACTGTCCCGATGGCGACTGCGACTTTGCTGGTCTTGGCTGGCCCGACCTGCATCGCCATGTTCGTAATGTCCACCACAAGAAGATGTGTGATCTTTGCACCCGCAACAAGAAGGTCTTTACTCACGAACATGAAGTCTTCACCGACAAAGAGCTCGAGCGACACATGCGTCATGGCGACGACCGACCAGGCGCGGTGGACCAGACTGGGTTTAAGGGACACCCGCTCTGTGCTTTCTGCGGCCAGCGGTTCTACGACGATGACAAGCTGTACGAGCACTGCCGCAACAAGCACGAACGTTGTTTCCTATGCGACCGCGCGGACCCCCGAGAGCCCCATTATTATCAGGACTACAACGCCCTCGAGCAGCACTTTCGCGAGGGCCATTTCCTGTGCCCCGAGCCCGACTGCCAGGAGAAGAAGTTTGTTGTTTTTGCCTCCGAGATGGATCTCAAAGCCCATCAGCTCAGCGAACACGCCAACACTCTGTCCAAAGACGTCCGGCGAGACGCCCGCGTGGTGGATTTGGCCAATTTTGACCTGAGGCAACCATATCAGGATGAGAGGCGTGCCGGCGGCTCCGGCAGAGGCAGAGGTGGCGGCAGGGATAGGAATGGGGAAAGGGGAGGCAGGGGCCGTGATCCGAATAGCGAACCGATCCCCGCAAGCTCTGCTCAACCGCTCCGGAGGGACGAGCTGGCCTTCCAGCGCCAGATGGCCATCCACTCGACCCAGCGCACCTTTGGCGGACATCTTACGGCGGATGCTCCAACCCCTGCGGCATCGGGATCGACACAAGCTGCCCAACGCAATGCCCCAGCGACATCGACACCACCTTCCGCATCTACCGTCGCCGCGGACCTGGACAACCTCAGCCTGACCGACCCCAACCTGACACAAGAACAGCGTGCTCAACTAACGCGTCATGCTGCCGTCATAGAGAGAGCTACCGGCTACCTCCACAACGACAAGAACAAACTTGACGTGTTTCGTGCCCAAATATCCACGTTCCGCCAGGGCAAAATGACGGCCTCGGCTCTCGTTGACAGCTTTTTCACCCTGTTCTCCAACAGTTCATCCGGCCAACTGGGGACACTCGTCCGCGAGCTGGCCGACCTGTTTGAGGACAAGTCGAAATCCGACCAGTTGCGCAAGGCGTGGAATGACTGGCGCGCCATCAATGAGGATTATCCCACGCTCCCTGGACTTGGTGGCATGCATGGCGCTACCACGTCGAGCAGCGGTTGGGCAAACGCTGCCGCAAGCTCACCCGTTTCTGCCGCCACGGCCCCATCGCAAAAGCATTCCACCAGGGTACTCAAGCTCAAGAGCTCGACGCAACAATCCCGCCGGTCCACTGCTACCCAGTCAGCAAACTGGGCTGGCACACCTGCGACGGCTTTCAGCTCCATTCGACCACCACCGCCCGCAGCTTCCTTCCCAGCTCTGCCTCCCAGGAGCAGCACTTCAACACCTACAAGTCGCGCTGCCCCCTCGTCGTCGTTAGGCTGGGGTCCGGGAAACACCAGCACCATTACAACCCAACATCAGCCCTACAGAGCAGGACCAAGCAGGTCTTCGGCTGCTGGCAGAGAGGATAGCTTCCCAGCTCTACCCACAGCCGCCAAACCCACCATGACGATCTTTGGGTACGGAGGTGGACGCGCCGTGCGGAGAGACGTCGGGAATGCTCAAGGCACTCATAGCTGGGGTGGAAACGGGGCTAGTAATGATACTGCCGAGGTCGCGCAGGAGGCAGAGACAACGGGGGGCAAGGGCAAGAAGAAAGCGAAGAAGCAGGTCTTGAATCTGTGGGCTTGAGAGATGTGAAGATGACAGATAAAGTGAAATGAGCACTGTAATATCTGGTGGACAAGCCGCATATTGTACACGGTGTAGCACATAAGGGCCATGATATCATACTTTAGAGATGAATCAATATCATGAGCACAATGTGTTTACATGTCCAGCAAGAATCCATGCCTGGTCTTTAGGTTCTCGAGGTGGTACGTGCCGTCTCGCGATTAAGACGCTCAACCACAATTTGCTCGATGATGAGGTGGAGGGTGCGGGACCAGTGGAGTTTGTCTGGTGAGTATCCCACCATGTTACCATTTGCAGCAGGGATACAGAAAAAGCATTTGAAGTTCTGTCCTACATGACTGTGCAATCCACATTGCATCGTTGCAAATCCTTTGGATCATGGCAAGCGGCACATAGTTCCGCCTGATGATCTGGAAGGCGTAACTATAACGTCCCACACACACATCCGGGACACCCCCACATGTGGGACGCCCTAAAAATGATGCTGTATATTATAACCATTGACTTCAATCTTTTTTTACACTTATTCTGATGCGACTACAATACAGCTTTCACCGTCACTAGGGTTTTCAGACTCGCTAGACTCATCTGTACTATCCTCAATTTCACCAGCCTCGATTTGAGCCTTCCGAATAGCCTTGATATTAGTAAACTTTGAATTTGGGCTCATCTTGAGCTTCTTCCGCTTCCTAGCCCTACTAGCCTCAAGCGCTGCCTCTATTGCCTCAATCTTTCGCTGTGCGACAGCTAACTGGTAGTCCTTCTCATCAAAGCCCTTTTGAACTTTCCGAAAGAGTAGCCGCTGGGTATTTGGCTCACTATCAAGCTTGCTGAATAAGCTGAGTTGATCTTGGAGCTCATCTCTCCTCTTAGGCGTTGACCATGCTACTGCTGATGTCTCTAACGCCCAGTCCTGACTACTAGAGTGCCCTTTGCAAGTCTGACTAGGCTGTTTGATTGGTGCTGACGTATTCTCAAGGAGCAGGGAGCTCATAAAGGGTCTAGCTATGCTCGAAGGCCAGAGACCAGTATATTTCCATCCACTGATAATGTTCTTGACGGTCAATGCTGCTAGACGTGCCTTTCTATAGCAGAGGAGAAAGTTTCTCTTCCCTACGACAGTAGTAGTATCCCATTGATCAAGGTAACCAAGCTCCTTCTTATAGGCTGCCTTGAGGGGTCCAAAGACTGACTGATCGAGAGTCTGGAGAACGTGGGATGTGTGTGGCGGCAAGAAAAGCAAGTGTATCTTGTTTATGAAGCAGAGGTACATAAACTCTGTCGTTTCGTGGCTTCTATGCCCATCTCGGATAAGTAACCTAGTCTCTTCAGGGTCCTTTGGTTGAGTCAAAGAAATAAAGATCTTTTGTAGCCACTCAATAGCCGTAGAGTCTGACGTCCACCCATTCTCTGTTGCTGTAAACCTCCAGGCTTCGTATGGAGTCAAGTCCAGAGGAAACCACTGCTGCTGGACAGACTTCCCCTTGTATATCACAAGTGGGGGTAGTGCAGTACCAGTCGCAGAGATACACTCTATAAGAGATGTCCAAGCTCGAAATCCAGGCTGTTTCTTCCGTATAGTGACGTGGGGTTAGGGTTTTTGGGTGCTCGTTTTCGTTTTTTTCCGGTTTCAGACGAGTTATGTAAGCGCGTTCTTGAAGGTATTTAAGACCTTATGTACATAGTCACTCTCTTGAGAAAAAAGATAGGAATTCAAGCGGCCTTTTCCACAGTAATCTGAACCAATTTCTCTTTACTTGGACAGGCATTCAATGTCTGACATACCTGTTGAGGTACTTTTGTTGCCCCTATAGATCTGATTGTGCCTGCTGAGGCCATTGTTCCCACCTTTCACCTGTTGAGGTGATTGTTCAAGGACCTGTTGAGGTTCCTTTTCTTCCCCAGCCTGCTGAGGCTACAGTTGTTAGTACCTGTTGAGGTACTTGTCGTTCCGATCAGGGTAAGGAGTTCTTGATCTTGTTATTTCTTTCCACCTCCCGGATAGTGAGGCCTTGTTGAGGATCTTGTTATTCGTTGCCATCATCTTACACCTTAAACCCGCGGGTGGTTTCACTGCCCGTCGTCAATAGAACGAGCCTCAGATGATCTTAGAACAAGACCATTTGATCCTCTACCTTCTAGAATACCTGTCTCATCCATATTGTATCGATTCGAGGCCTTAATAGCTTTGATCTCAGGGATAGCGAGGTATTTGGACCATTGCCTGATCACATTAGCTGAGGCTCCATTAATACGCTGGGAATCGATAGCTCTGCTTCTCTGGGCCTTGACTGAAGGGTTCCTCTTGATAAAAGCCTGGATCCAGTTCTTTCCAAGTGGTTCGGTGTCTCCGTGGATCTGTAGGATACGCTCGGCGAAGTCTTTGAGCTGTTGATGGGTTGGTGGGAGGCCTAGGGCAGCCTGGATTCGAACCCATTCAGCCAGATGGGGTTCCTGGGCTGGAGAGAGCCTCTGGTAGTCAGCGAAGGCTATATCTCTTGACTGGGCTCCCTGAACCCGTCGTGAAAGAGTAGACCTTGGGACACCATGCTCATATGCTGCTTTTCGGAGTCTTTGACCGGTAGCTATTGCTTGAAGAGCTCGATAAATATCATCTTCGGTATATTGATTCATATTAGTGTAAAGAAGACGTACGTAAAATTTTGTAACGATTGAATCGATATTGGTAAAGATAAAAGAGGTTGAAGTTAGAGGCTAGCGGTGTTGATAAGGCATTTTTGGGTGTCCCACATGTGGGGGTGTCCCGGATGTGGGTGTGGGACGTTATCCAAATTCGTCAAAAGAGCGGATTTGGCCGCAAGCGCCCCTAAATGCATAGAGTTATGAAGTTACCCCGTTAGGATAGTACGATGTGCGCTCATTTGACGGGTAATGTTCATCATGCCACGGAGCAGGAGGTGGTTATTGCAAAGGGCTTGGTGCGCAGAGTCTAACAGATATGTACCTCCTCAGTTCCTGGGCTGGCATAGAACTTATTAGTCGCGCATTGAGCCTGTGCTGAACGAGAAAGACGTTATGGTGTATGAGTATCTGCACGTGATGGGACGGTTGGTCAACTTTGCAAATAGTAAATATAGGTTGGCGGGGTGATTATTTGGTTGTGGAGCGTGAAGGCACTACAAGGTATGCCAAGCCAGCCGTCTTTGAGAAAGCAATTGGTCCTGAGACTGAGGCATGTGGTATATACCGTGTATTGACTTGGTGGTATGCACTACATGTATCCAGTACTACCGTGGCCAAGGGGAGAAACAACAGAGAAGCTGTGGTTGCCGTTCGCCAATGTAAAGATCGTACAGATGGCATCCATGGAGAACTATGCTGGTGATGAAGTCGAGGGTGGCGGCGACCTACTGCGGTGTGTCAACAACATGTAAAACTTCAAGAACAGCATTTGGTTGTACCCAGTGCTGATATAAAAGGAAAATGATAACTGAAGGGCAGTCCTCGAAGTTTGTGCATCACAATTATACGTGTTCATTCCAACATTTACAGCATGTTGCAGCTTGTCCTCTATCTTCAGTGCATTCCAGAGCAAGAAGGTATGCAAGATCAACTCGGATCATTACGAGTGTACCGAAGCAGAGCGACAATGTCTCAATCGAAGACAAAATGTTCAACATGGGGAGATTGATCGCTTGTTCAACATCCTAGTAGCTGCTGCATCTATACCAGGACAGATCATATTTTCCTATTTTCCACCTTTCGGATATCTAAACCCGTATTCCCATCCCAGTTGTCAATGCTCCTTGAGCAACCAAAATTCTAACACCAGATCTTTCATCAATGTCTTATTGTAATTGGTCACCCCGGGCAAATCCGGCAGTCTATCGAGATGGGATTAAGACTTCGCAACGAAGTCGGCAGATTCATAGCAGCATCCTTTCCGAGACGGGTGCACCACGAGCAAAAAAGGGACAGAATTTAGACATTTCAAGCCATGTGTATACGTATTTCAACTCTTTATGGCCCCCTTTGAAATGTAATAATGTCAGATCCCAGGAAACTTGACTTTGGGCTGTATCACCGTTAGGTCGCGCCAGGCAAGGCTATTATTCCCAAATGCAATCCTATGTGGCCCGACGAAGAAAGTGTGACAGTAAAGCAAATGAGAGAGGTAATCCGGGGGGTTCTTTGGAGGGGCCCTGGTTATTATTTAATACGGTTGGCTGGTGTAGTTGGTCACTTCGCTGGTAGATAAGTCCCGATTTGAGCCTCGCCCACTTGGGTCGGTGACGAGTCGCGGGTTCGAATCCCGCAGCTGACACACAAGGGGGTTTAGTCAACCCTTATGGCGCGCTGCCCACCTTGTTGACTTCGCCTACCTAGCGATAATAGGGAGATTGGTGCAGTTTAGGATTACGAGCATCCTAGCCAGTCGACCGTCAAGCACTACGTCGGCGGAATATAACTCGACAGCCGGTCCAGAATTCGAATCGTTAATCCGGCCCCTTATCGGACCTCGCCTATCCGATAACGCTCGTCGGCGAACCCGTCCCCTCACGATAGAAGGCGCGCAGCACGCCCTCTCGCCGCGATTCTTGCGAGCGTCTAGACCACGTTACGGTCTATCCACTTGAGCGTATGGTTGAGATGTATACGCTCGACGAGAACCCCAATTAGCAGATACTACGACTTGTCGCGACAAAAAAAAATAGTCGAGCATCTTCTGCACATCAGCAGCATCCCACCCCTGAGGACGAATTTAAGTGCCACATTACCACACTTATCGGTAGTTCAGGCAGGGGTTGTAGCACAGACTTAGGGAGGGACAGGAGGTTTAGTAGTGGTTTGGCTACAAGTTTACCTGTATAACCGCCCGACGCGGCTTAAGGGCCCGCTATATCATCTATATCCCTTTAAGGGAGTACTTGTAGAGGTACCGAGGGTTAACACCTACGGCGTATTTAATATTTTATTTAATACGAGTGCTGGTGTGTTCAGCTGAAATTTAAACAACATCGTGGAGAAAGTAACTATTTTCTATGGTATTATCAGCCGGTTTTACGAGCTCAGCAATCGCAATTCTGATTATAAAGTGCATTTCATCGAGTAAGCTCAATAATTGTTCACGACATAAACATAGGGGTAAAAGCTCTGAAATTGTGTATTCAGATATGTTCACTAAGAAACCCATCAACTCGGAACAGTGGATCATGGTAACTTCGCTCTATAAGCGTTACTCTCTAGAGACCCCAAAAACAGAAAAGATGGTCAGCCAAAGAACAAAAGTAGCTCAAGGCTCATACTATGGATAGTTCTGGCGTACATATGCAATCCCCTGCAAAAACGCATCGCCGCCAGCAAAGTTCGTGCCAGTCGAGCTTGTTGAACTTGCAACGCCATACATGTACCTGTCCCCTGCCGCGTCTGGAGGCAGCCAAAGTGGGCCGCCTGACTGGCCACTATCAGCATCAGCATCCGTTACCATAGGACCATACGCATCACAACCTGTCGAGCTGGAGATGGTGATGGGGTACTGCCTGTATTGCCTTTCACCCTGACCCAGGTCAAGGGGGTACCCGAGGTGGTAAAATATTGCTCTTTTAAGCAGCGAGCTGTCCACCGTCTTGGCGCCCATGTAGCCCCTGTCATTCCCCAATGGGTCGTCAAGAACCATGATAGCCCAGTCGTTCTTGTAATCGCAGGCATCGGGGTTGTTCACGACATCAACACCTGATAACGACAAGACCGGCCCAACTTTGGAGGAAGGAAAACGCTCGCCGTTGAAGTAGTCGGGCTGGAAGGTGACGGTGATGCCCGTCTGATCATCAGAGGGGGAACAGTGGCGGGCGGTGGCGACGTGGCGGGGACCAACAAGAGTGCCTGTGCAGTAGGCGCCCGTGGACCAGATCAGTCTGCCCATGGCCGAATAGGGGTAGTCGGTGCTGTTCCAGACGACGCGGTTATCAACGCCAACGATACCACGTTCGGCTAGGTCCTCATCGGTATCTGAATATGGCGACGACAGGCCAAATAAAGAAGGAACCTCAGTGACATGTCCGACTGAGGCAAGGTTGGACGGGGTGAGCTGGATGATGGTTGGAGGGGGTCCAGTGGGCTTGAATGATTCGCCCAGGTTGCCGATGGGTTGTGTGTATAACTCATCCTGCTTGACTTGAGTCGTGGGGAGAGCAGAGACTGAGTAAAAAAGGGTGAGCACGATAGCGGCCGTGTGACGCTGAGTCAGAACCATGGCGCCAGTTCTACCACATACGAAGTAGCGAGAAGTGTGAAGAGAGATTCAATGTTGAGCAATACCTAAGACATTGGCTTATTTGTCTCCAGATGATCCGTACTTATGTAGCACTTGAGCACGCTTTTACATCATAGGACCTGCCTAGTTGGTCAACTTACACTTGCTTTCTCGTATCTGTAGTCTCCGACTTCCAGTCAGCAGTTTGCAACTCATTCATCGCATCCGCCCACCTCTTCCTGGCCTTGAGAGATCCAGACCACGGTCTTCTCGGCTACTTTTCGCCCGACCTATGTTGAAAAGTGAAGCATCGTGACCAACTTCCCAAGGTATAGGTAACCTTGGGGGCTATCTCGCTAATGACCACCTTCTTTTCACCGAAGGATGTCACAAGACATCCATTTCGACAGACCATCCACTAGGAAGCCTGGAGTGGCCATCCTACTGTGAGGATTTTCATCGTATCTTGAGGCAGACAGATACAGTTTCGGTCATTGAGATAACCAACTGCCTATTCGCGGTCTACTTTGGGACTTGGTGACATGAAAGACCTCTACTAACGCCTCACGTATGCTTCATCATGAGGCTGTGCAACGCAGGTTCCATGACTTGTGTTTATTGATTCGAGACCAACATGCCTCAACTGTGGCAAAAAGGACAAACTATTGAATTGGGGGCCTGAGAACGATCCGCTGAGGCGCAGCCCACTCCTTCAGGACCTATCCTGCAAGTTGGCGGGTCCTCCTGAGCGCGGTTGTCGCGCTTGTCAGCCTGATTCCCCTACCATATGAATAGAAGCCTGGAAATATGAACGGGTTCACCCGTCCATTCGGATTCTATCGCTCGGCACGGCGCGCTGTGTGGTACGTTTGCTGTGTACGGTCCGTCCTTTCGTCAGGGATTGGGGACAGCCAATGTGACCTTGCAGCCTTAAGCGCTGAACTTCCCATTCGGGTATGTTCTGAGCAAATTACGTGCCAAGTTGGCCATGATGTTGGTCGAGTTATTCAGAGATGTTACACAAGAATGAGAAACTACGACTTCCACTTCGCGAGACCAATCTGTCGGGTTGGACCCAGAATACTCGTCTGATAGGTGGGCTTTCCATGACTTCACCGCACACCACTCCACAAATCCCTGCTTTCATGAAATCATTATACGAGTATTTCGGAAACCCGATTGAAAGTTTTGAGGTAGGGTTCACACGAAATAGGATGGTGACACAGCGATGTCGGGTGTGAGTCAAGTATGCACGTGTAGCAGCGAAAAGAACAGAGGGGCGAATAGTGGGTTATATACTGCGATTCGGGGTATCACCTTGCTCTTATCCTTCACACCTTCTCTGGGGGCCATGTATGTATTGTACTAGTAAGCAGTTGGCAAGGTCTATGGCTTCCGAGTAAGCTTGTTTCTGCCGCCCAACATCGCTAATTACGATCTTATCATCTTGTGATGACAGCTGGGCTGACCGCTCGAAAGAAAATGTCAGAGGGTCTGTCTGAGCGGAAACCAGGTTTGTTGGGTGGCTAATTGGGACAGCCTGTAGGATTACGCCATCATAATTTGGCTCTCACGTCATATTTGCAGTCTATTTAAACCATGGGTGAGAAGCATATTTTGCTAGAAACATAGACGCTGAATCACCATATTTTCGTGACGAAAGCAATGTACGCCCGCGTGATCGCGATTCTCAAGTGAATGAAGCTATTGAAACTCATTTTGTTCCATATTACAAGTCAGAATGAAAACTAGTAATGCCGAGCTTCTCTTCTATGTAAATTGATGCATTAAATCTCCGTTAACCCTGGGTTCCTTCCATAGCCCTCTCCTTCTTCTCACTCGAGATATGCCTCTGCTTCTCGGACTCCTGGTCCAGCGGGCGATCCAGCCCAAGACGATGAGCAGTGCTGTACGAAGCAATGCCACCATCCGTATCAGTCTCGGTGACGAGCTCCTTGCGCCGCGTGTCAACCAACAGGCGGATCAAATCAGGGCGCATGTAGTGTCCGGCAAAGTCAGCAAGGACTTTGGTCAGGTGGCACTCGTCGAGATCTATGTCGACGAACAATAACCCGTCGAAGTCCTTGTCCGACTTGGAAACCAGAGTTCCATCGGGCTTGTATATGCGGGCATGGCCATTGTAGACCGAGGGATCCGTCTCGGGCTGGACTCCTTCAGGAGTGTTCTTCTTCAGTCCCTCAACCGACAGTCTCTGAAAGGGCGCCAAGACCCATGCGCCAGTCTCGATAGCATATGCAGGCGTAACCAGATCAGAAGCCGTGTCGGCGTAGTTAGTCAGTGGGTCGGGGGAGACTTGGCGCTCCTTTCCGGGGTAGACGGGCCAACCAGCAACGTGAATTTGCTCACCCATGGATACGTTCAGGGACTTGAGGAAGGGGTTCATGTTCTCCCAGCAGTTGAGTTGGCCAAGACGGCCGATATCCGTCTCGGTGACAGAAATGAAGGTGTCGCCAGAGCCGTCGCCGTAGACGAGCTTCTCGACATGCGTGGGCTTGATCTTGCGCCGGTGGTTGATGATGTCGCCGTTGGGATTGATGAGGACTTGGGACAGGTACAGCGTAGCGTGGTCGAGCTCCGACAGACCCATGGACACAAATATCTGGTTGTTACGGGCGGCGCGGCGGATTCGATTCATCTCTTCCGAATCGACCCGGAGCGAGTTCTCGCGGTACTTTTTGAGCATGGGCAAGGATTGGAGGTATGTTACCTTCCACATCCAGTAGGGGTAGCCGGGAATCCCTTAAGAATTGTAACACTTAGCAGGGCAGTCAATAGGGAAAGGGAGGCATATTTTTTGACTTACAGACCTCAGGAAAGGCGACGAGCTTACAGCCAGCCTGGGAAGCTTCATTGATGAAGTTGATGGTCTTTCGAACACCGGCTTCGAGGTCGAACCACTGCGAGGATTTGGTAAACTGGACGGCAATGGCTGAAAGAAGTCAGGTCTCACTCCAGGCTCTGAGGTGACCTGTTTTCATATTTTGTTAGTTCATGTGATGTGTTGGATGTTGATAAGGGGCACATACCGCAGCGGCCTTGTACTTGTTAATTGGCATGATGGAAGTAGTAGAATCGAGAGTTTGAAGAACTATACGAGGACGGTTGATGTCTTTATTGAAGTAGATATGAATGTTCTGTCAACTTGAGTCTTAGTAAAATCAGATATAGATGAAACTTTCTTGCCCTTTTATGCACCAAAGTTATGTTCTAGTTTCAGCTTGGTACGGTTATGGTTCGATTATAGACGCACGATGATGAAATCAAACCTGGCGAAGAGTCCCCGCCTAGTTGTCTCGGGAACTCGGTGATTGAGCAAATAATACCAATGCTCGGTATACTGCGAAGCAAATCAAACCCGACGAAATTCATCTGATTTCCTGCAAATGACGAATCTAACCGTAGCTCTATTGCAATAGCGGATTTCCTTGGAAATTCTAGGCTTAACGGTAAGTGCCTTGCTTCAAAAACATCCCCGGCTAAGTGTCATTAAACACGCTAACATTTACCTTGATATAGGCAATCATTCTTGTCTTCATTTCCCAAAATTGCTCTGTGCTACATGACTACGTACCTGTGCAACGACTCACAGACTCCACTGTTCATCCGACCAGGCGAAGGTCAAATCCCGGGGAGCTATAAATGTGTTGCTGGGGTATCTATCGACGCATGTCCACGACGGAACTCCTCCGGCCGGACTATCGGGATCTGAATGACAGATCCCGCTAACGCATGGTTCTACGTAGCCACCAGACATTGTGGGTTCCGCCCGAGACCACTAGGTGAGGTGGCAAAACTGGGAGGAGTCTGTTTCAATCTCAATATTCCGTAGAATGTGAACTACAACATACCCGAGTGTCCCCCTTCCCCTGAAGAGTGACATGTCGGGCTTGGGTCATTCTATTAGAATCCGAAGTCGAAAGTCGTAAAGTATTGCCTTTTTGCTAATCTTGGATGCTTTCAGTCTTCGAATAAACATTAGAAACAACGTATCCTAACGACTTGTAGCTGTGCAGGAAAACAATGATTATGACCAAATGTATCTGTTTACTACTATAACATCATCGATAAGAATTAGCTGCAGAAACCTGCACATTCGCAGTTACAAGCGGATGGAACGGCCGCTGACTATGCTATAAGGCAGCGCATAATTATCAGCTCTATCTAGAACAAAATATGCTAAGCGAATAGGGATATGCCACCCGAGGGGTTGAGCGCATTTATTGCCCATGTGACGGGTATCCTCAGCTGGCGAAACAAACGGACGGTGGCGGCCTTTGGATGTATTAGTCTTTCGATTCGAAGAATCTCAAGTTATGCAAGATGCACACCAAGTCAATTGTTGCTTCACAAGTACGAAGGGTTGGTTACATTGTTATATGTAAGTTATCGATTGGCATTGTGCTTACTCGGCGGGTGGCCGACAGCTCGGGCCCACGCAACTCCCCTATCCCTTGACCCTTCATCGCATTACAAGAGCAGTATTCTGAGGCGCCCGTGGCCAAGCCAGTATGAATGCTGATTGTTCTAGCTTGAAATCAACCTTGGAGAACAACAATAAGTGCTTAACCTGGAGACTAGCAAGAGGCCCTCGATCTGATCTACAAAGTACAGTACTGCGTAGGGCCTAGGCATCAGAAAATGTATCCCTTGTTAGAGCTTGGGCCACATCCGCTTCCCGGCCCTACGGGATGAATTTTGGAATCTGATTTTCCAGGGTTCAAAGGCGAGACAGACTTGACAGCTGTAGCGCGGACAAACCAACCGGAAGCACTTGAGAAGTACAACGAACCTGCTCTGCTGAGAATAGCAACTGACGCAAAGTCGCATCCCCCCGTTACATTGTTTGCACCTAAACCCTGTCAATCGACTTTTGTGTGTCGATCGAGGTCTGAAAGTCCCACAAATACCTATATCGGTGGAAAAGTTGAAAGCTACTCGATGTTGCTTGCTGGCGTGGATTGCGGCACGTTGGTTGCAGAGTGCGTTTACGATGGATAACAATAAGCTGACGGACCATGCCTGAATAGAGACTGCCGACTTCTTCACGCATTATAAGGGCGCTCAATTCATCTACCTATCAATCGATCGATCGATCAATAAATCAATGTTTCTGGGGGCTTTGCATCTGGCGTCAGCCACCAAAGGGCTCGCGTTGTCCAATAGCCGAGCACTCGATCCCACCAGCCAGCCGAGAGAAGAAGACTCCTCCACATAATCCTCTGCCATTTCACCGGGCTTTCTTTCCTCTTTTCATCCCTCATCTATATGCTCGGTTTGATCATCTGCCAGCTGTCGCTATTGTGGTTTCTGGACTTTACCAATCCGGCTAACGCAGCACTGGCATCATCCGCTGGTCCAAGTACGTCGCACTTCAGCACGAGTATTCAGTGGCGCTCTAGCACCCTGGGAGATCTGGAATAGCCAGTACAGGTAGGTACCCGTGGTGCCGCGACGAAGTGGAACACGTGGAGCCGAAAAGACCCACCCCTCCTCCATAACTTTAGAAGCACAAGAAGAAAAGAAGCACAAGCAACTTGGTCAAAGTGGAATCAAATTCAATTGTCCCATCTCCATTATCGAGCCTAAGCAGCAACAGCACGACATTGTCTCCATTCCACCCAGGCCGCAGACCGCTAGCGGCATCAACACAGGCTCTGTTGCTTTTCGACGGGATACCTATACAGTTCCCCTGCATCGTCAGGTCGGCTTGCTCTTCGATTTCGTCACGCCACCATCCTTTTCCCAAGCCCACCTTTCCGAGTCCATCCTCCCGAAGGGCTGCCAACTGCCCGCATCATTCACCATCGCCGTTAAGCCTGCGTCGGCACTAACAACTGCCGAATCAATCGTTCGTCTTTGCTTCCATTGGCATCGACATCTTGTCGGCAGTGCACCATCGTCCTTACTGGCATCTGGCAATCGGACGCGACGGCCGGTTGCGCCATCGATGTGATCCTCCACCAACGGCCCCTTTCACGACGTTGAAGGCCCCAGAATGTTGCGACGGCCTCCTGGCGAGGGACGGCTAGTCGCTGAACAGCAGCGGAACTCCAAGGTCTTCCTGACCCTGGCCGGCCTCTTGCTCACGTCATGGCTCCCGCTCGCCGATGCTCAGCCGCAGCACTCGCTCCGACACCAACAGCCGCCCGTCGCCAACATACTACGCAAACAGGATGACGACCTGCAAGGGCACCAAGAGTCGCCCTTTGAGAGCGAGCGCGTTATAGGGAAGCTTCCGGCCACCATTTCTCAGACCTCAACCGCCCGCAAGTCGACGTTTGATTCCATTGACGGCCTGCAGAACGCCGTCACCACCATCCGCAACCATGATGGCAACAGCAACCAGTTCCGCAGCCGACCAAACCACCACAAAGATCACAAAAATACAAACACCGAACCTTACGATGCGAGCGCCCTCGCAACTGTGGCTCTGGAGCACCACTCCGTTCGAGCCCCCAAATCTCCACGACAGCTGTCCAGCGTTCTCGCAGGTGCTGGGCTGTCCTCGCCGCAATCTGCGCGGAGTCTGGAGAGATGGGAAGTGGAAGACTTTGTTCTTCTGGCGACCGTCGATGGACATATTTACGCCGTCAACAAAGAGTCGGGCGAGGAACGCTGGAGGCTCGACTCTGAGTACCCCGCTGTCGAGACCATCCACAACCGCCCCAACAAGTCCTCGGGCGACGACGATTACCATCCCATCCACGATTACATCTGGGCTGTCGAGCCTACGCAGGACGGGCCAGTCTATGTCTACAAGTCGTCGGGAGTCGGGGCCGGGTTGACGAGCACTGGCTGGACTATGAAGAAAATCGTCGAAGAGTTGAGTGGGCGGGCCCAGACGGACCCCCCGGTGGTCTACACCGGGGATAAAAAGACCGAGGTGGTCACCGTCGATGCCGCCACAGGGCGCATCAAGAAGTGGTTCGGGGGCCAGATGGGCCATGCCGTCGATCAGACTTGCTCCCGCCCCAACGATCTGGTGGACATGGACAACGGGGAATGCAGCAACACCGGCACCATCGCTCTGGTCCGCACCGAGTACACGGTCAGCATCCATCGCGAAGATGACGGCAGACTGCTAGCCACACTGAAGTATCGAGAGTGGGCCCCCAACACCTTCGACAGCGACCTGCACCAGCAGTACCAGAAAACCCAGCTGAGCGAGTACTACACTAGTCGCCACGACGGCACGCTGTACGCGCTCAGTAGCGAAATGGATGGGTACCCGGGTAAAGCCCTACGCTTGTCCGTCCCGGTTGCTCGTGTCTTCGACGTGCGACGGCCGCGTGATGTTCCCAAGGGCAGTAATCCTGAGCTGGTTCTCCTGCCCCAACCCACGCCGCCATTTTCAGACAGTGCGCAGGCCCGAAGTCGAAGCTCCAGCATCTTTCTCAACCAGACATGGTCTGGCAGCTGGTATGCCATGTCCGGTCTCTCGTACCCCCTCATGGTTGACGCACCAGCGGCCCAAGTCAGCAGAGACCGTATCTCTTGGGATGGTGATAGGATCTCCGACGAGGCTTACGTTGGCCGCGTTCTCGCCGGGAACCACGTTCTGGGCAATGTGCCCGAAGATGTAGACCATCTTTACGGCACGCAATTGCCACCAATGCTCCCCCTCTTGGGCCTACCCATGTCGGATACCGATGATGACGAGAACGACTCGGTCCAGGCCCTGGTGCTCAATGCCGAGTATGACTTGAGCATCGTCGAGAAAGTCTTGACACTTCCTGAAACGACGGCCGCCTACGTCAAGGAATTCTTCTTTAATCCCGTCTTTTATGTCATGCTGGCTGCCGGGCTTATCTACTATTTGAAGGCCTTGAAGGCCGGCCAACAAGCTACGGGTCGTGGCATCTCATCGGGCTTGAGTCCATCTCTGCGCCCGCCTTTGCTCAATAAGGTCAATGATGCCTCTCCCATGCGTGGGGACTTGGGATCTGCCGCGGACGAGGCTATCGTCAACAATGTCCCGGGTCTTTCACTGGAGGATCCTGTTGCTGACAAGCAGACACCCGCTGTTGCTGCTGCAGAGGAGGCTGCTCGAATAGAGCTGCCAACTGCAGAGCCACAGGTCGTTGGCATCGACTCCCCGGAGAAAAAGGACAAAATGCCCCGGAAACGAGGTACCCGAGGCGGCAAGAAGCACAAAAAGAAGAGCAAACAAGACCCGTCACAATCCCAAGATGACAAAGTGACACCTTCCGACGACGGCCCGAGCTCGGATCAGATTATCAAGATCATGAATCTAGGCAAAGAGCCAGGGCTTCAGCCCAATGTGAAGACGATCCCAGGTGATCCGGAAGATTTGAGCTCGGGTTTTGTTATCAATGGTCTCCAGGTCAATACCGACGAACAGCTTGGGACAGGGAGCAACGGTACGCTTGTCTTCTCAGGCAAGTTTCACGGGCGATCTGTCGCGGTCAAACGTATGCTTGGAGCATTCTATGACATCGCCTCGCAAGAGACGAAGCTCCTTTTGGAGAGTGACACTCATCAAAATGGTAGGCCAATATAACCCCCATCCGCTCCTCCACCCCTTTTCCCCCACCCCTTTTCCCCAACTGTGAAAAACTTAGCCAGGTCGTACGTGCTAAAAGTTACCAGTTATCCAATATTTCGCCCTACATGAAGATCGCACCTTCTTGTACATCGCCCTGGAGCGTTGCGATGCATCTCTCTCGGATATCGTGGAGAAACCTCACATGCACCGGAGTCTCGCGCAGGCTGGAGAGCGGGACATTCCCAATGTCCTCCTTCAAATTGCTAATGGGTTGAGTCATCTGCACAGCCTGCGCATCGTGCACCGAGATTTGAAGCCGCAGAACATCCTCGTCACCATGACCAAGGAAGGCAAGCCACGGCTTGTGGTGTCCGACTTTGGGCTTTGCAAGAAGCTCGACGGTATCCAATCGTCGTTTGGTGCTACCACGGCCCACGCTGCTGGAACGTCGGGCTGGCGTGCACCTGAACTGCTGCTTGACGATGACGCCCGCGACATGTCGACCTCGATGGCCAGCAGCCACAGCCACAGCGAGTCAAGTCAGCTAGTCAGCTCGGATGTCATGCCCAACCGCCGCGCCACTCGAGCCATTGACATCTTCAGTCTCGGTCTTGTGTTCTTCTATGTGCTCACCAAAGGCCTCCACCCCTTTGACTGCGGCGACCGTTACATGCGCGAGGTCAACATTCGGAAGGGCCAGTCAAATCTAGAGCCACTCGACGTGCTGGGCGACTTTGCCTTTGAAGCCAAAGACCTGATCCGCTCTATGCTGTCCCTGGATCCCCGTAGTCGGCCCACCACAGTCGAGGTCATGGCGCACCCCTTCTTTTGGGGCCCCAAGAAGCGTCTTACGTTCCTCTGCGACATCTCGGACCATTTCGAGAAAGAACAACGCGACCCACCGTCGGAAGCTCTGCAAACCTTAGAGAGCTACGCGCGCGTCGTGACGCACGGCGACTTCCTCAAGGTGCTGACTAAGGAATTTGTCGACAGCCTCGGCAAGCAGCGCAAGTATACGGGCTCTCGGCTTCTGGACCTGCTGCGAGCGCTACGCAACAAATGGAACCACCGTGAGGACATGACGGACGCGCTTAAGAAGAGCGTCGGTATCACTTACGAGGACTACCTAGGGTACTGGACCCGACGGTTCCCAAACCTGCTCGTCATATGCTCGGAGATCATCTACGATCTGGGTCTGCAGGATGCTGTCCGATTCAAGGAGTATTTTGAACCGATGAGGCCGTAAGGGGGCTAGTAGTGTGGTCGCATCTGTAGTAATGTGAGTGGGCTCAGGATATCGCGGCTGAGTAGGCATTTAAATGGATGGTATTACGTGTTGAGAATCGTAACTCTTGACTCGTGATCTGCTTTCTCGTACTACACTACGACCTACCACACCTTATTTGGCTAGTAGAAACCAGGACGAAATCAATATGGCACACATGTGGATCTAAGTGTGGCTTGCCCTAAGCCCCACAAGTGTGGCCCTAGGCCCCACAAAAGTGGAAATAAAGCCAACGCTGTTACCGCGTTACATAGAAACCTAGACTTATCATGAATCAATCCATGAATCAACAGATCTGACCACACAGCTGACTTGGCACGAATTCAATGAACTTGACATTCGTGACATGAGTCCAGTGCGATAGATCGACCAGGATACACACACATATACGGTGCCGGTAGTACTTCGGTAATATCGTAACAAAACAAGTATACGTAGTAAGTAAATTCAGTCTTTTGAGACTGTATCGCACCTAGATATTGGCGGTTTCCAGCAAAGCCCATGAGTTGGGCATTGCAGTATCGAAGTTCGGATTCGTTTATCGTCGTAAGCAATATAATATTCCCTCGTAATTACGTAGGTAATCCAACGCGTAGAGAAAGTATAGCACTGGCTGCACAGTATCCTCGTCGGAGACAACAAGATTGATACCAGTTGAACAAAATGGCAACAGAAAAGCTTTCGTGTCGTACTGCTCAATTCACTGTTTTCTGCTTGGAGCTCAGCTGTCTTTACAGCATTAAGCCGATTTCAGAAGCTGAAGTAGGTTGAAACATTCAAGTCGGTCCATGGCCATAGCGGTATGCACACGTCAAACGAATTCACTGCAAAATTTGTCTTCGATTCAAGACTCAATGACGCTGGTCTGGAATACCCTTGCATGCGCACATAAGCGTCTCAGTCATAGGCTTTCTCATCCATGGTTCTTGAACCAACAGTCACCGGGTAATATCCTGCAAAACGAGCAAAATATGCAATTGCCTAGTCCAGTTTGCATGCTGTCTCCGCCACGCCATATAGCACTGGGTATCACAATCCTTTTGGTGTCCTTTTCACACCTTATTTCTTTCCCTTCTTTCCTTTATATCAAGTCCTGCCATTCTTCCTTTCCGGAACGGGACTGCTGGGCACCGGACTGCTCGAAGGGAAGAGACTGCTCAGCTCTGATACACGCCCTTGTTTGCTCGCTCGACGCTCCTTTCTCCGCTGTTTCTTCTGTTTCTTCTTGTCTGCCTTGCTCATACCTTGGCTCCCAAGGTTTCCTAAGCTGGACACCGCCTCATTTGCCGTTGCGGTGGCTGCACTGGTAGGGCGGGCAACATGAGTCATATGTAAGCAGTAGCGTTGGACGCCCAGGCTGGGGATCGCTTTTTCCGGCGTCGCAGTGGCTGCACTAGCAGGATGGACAGATTCTGTTGATGGTTCGTGCGGCGATATCTTCAGGTTCGGTCGCTTTCGGCCCTCCTTGCTGCCACTTCCGTTGTCGTCCAGCCCCTTCTTACACTTACACTTGTGGTCAGTCACTCTAGCAGTGGCCAGTGATAGAGGCGCCAACTCAGTAGCCTTTTCCTTTTTGGTCGTTTTGGTCTTCCGTGTCTCCTGCTGCACACTAGAAGATGAAGATTGGTGGTCACCCTGGGTATTTTGTGGCCACGGTTCCGCGTTGGTAGACTGGCGGTCCTTTGCTGCCTCCACCGTCGACTCCTCATAGTCGGGCAGCCTCAGATCCTGCTTTACTTTCTTCCGAGATTCATCTGGCTTTGGCGCAACAGGTGTGGCTTTTCGCTTGAGGAAGCTCCGAGCTCTCTCCATGCTCTTCTCATCCTTAACAAGTATTGACTCCGTCGAGACCTCGATGGGATCTTTAAGAAGCGCTGGTGACGCCTTCAGCATGTAGTTGATAGCAGGGTCCTGGGATGGTCCATCCGTCATAGTAGCGTTGATTTCGCTGAATGTCTTTATTGGGAGAGCCAAATCTTCATCTCTTTGCTTCTGGGCTGAGAGTTTGGATCGCGTACTGGGGGTCTCGACCTGGGACATGGCGCGCTCGAACCTAGGCGTAACCTCCAAGTCGGTGTCAACGAAGTCATCACTGCATTGCCTGGTGGAAGGTCCGGGTGCCTTCGGTGTGCCACAGTTCGGAAGACGCGCGGCAATTCCCGAGCTGGATTCGGAGCTGCTGATGGAGACGGCTTTTGGCGAGGAGCGTGTCGAATTGAGCATAATGCCTAGTTCTTGGTTAGAAGGGGGCGTTGGCTGACATGATGCCTTTGGCGGCGTCTCCTGCGTCAACTGTCTTGTGATCAGCACCGACGTCCCATCCGAGTCATCGGAAGTAGGCACCTGGTTATTTGCCTCAACTTCGTCCTCACCCTTGGTGACCTTAATGTCGACCTCGCTCTGGCTTGCCCTATCATCGGCCTCACTTTCATGGGACGACTGGTCGTCATACCATTCAACAGGTAGGGCTCTCTTCTTCTGCTTCCACTTCGAGATCATGGGACGTGATGGTGCAACGCAGCCGGGCATGTACTTACCCTTGTCAGGGCCTTCGATGATGAGACCTTCCCAGGGACCGTCGGCCACGAAAGCACCGTCCCGAATGGCGCAGAAGTTGGCTGGATAGCGCTTCTGGCACTCCTCAAACTCTGCCGGTAAAGGGATGGCCGCACTGCGTAGCGCTGCACGCATCTCGGCCGAGAGCTCCGTATCGCTTGAATCGTCAACTAGCGAGGGGACGTCAGCTGCCGAAGGGGCCGGGTCGGGGTCGGAGCAGCCAGGCTCGGGATCGTCCATGAACACGTGACGGACTCGTTGCGAGTATGCAGGTCCAAACTCCACTGGTGGCTTACTTTCCGGCTGGGTGCGGTAATCGCGCTGGAGAGTGTTGATGGGCTTGAAACATGTCGTTGGCATAGGACGTCGTTTGGGTGTCCTAGGTCCAGAGCCAGAGCCAATACCAGCGCCAGAGCTAGAGCTTGTCACTGAACTAGATGGTTTGATCAAAGCTGTTTTAGCTTCCTGTAGGTTCACTGAGGACTGCGAACTAAGATTGGAGCGATAAACAGTTCCCTTGTGGTAAGTTGGGACGGATCCTTGTGAAGTGGAAATCATGTAAACAGGTTTGGCGGGCGCTTCAGAGGTTATCTGATCTTTGTTGACGATGTTCAGATGGCCGTTGACTTTGTGGAACGATGAGCGCTTGCCCTGAGATGTATCCGGGGCCGCGACCAAGGGGTTTGGGGGGGAGCACACATCGTCGGAGCTTTCTGGTATAGATACCTCAGGATCTGAACTTTGAGCTGTGCCCTTAGCTTTGCCCTGAACTGTGCTTCGAGAGTTGTCCTGAACTCGGGTTGTGACAAAGGGGTCTTGAAGCGAGCCAACATCGTCATCGGAGTATTCCGGCGTAGAGTCCTCTGAATCTTCGCCTGATGGGATGGTAATGATCTTAGCATGTGAAGGTATCATAGCCGGGGTTCGAGGGCTCTTTGCCGCTGTAGAAAAGAGTTTTCTGGGAGTGGCACGGACTCCTTCGGCGTCGGAAACCAAGTCGTAAGGATCGCGCTTGGCCGCCTGATTCCTGGTCACTGTGCTGCAAGTCACTGGCGTTCGTGGTACCGACTTGGAAGCCGGCTCCTTCTTGGCTGTCGTGATGTTCTTGATGACCGGCTTGGATTGGAGGTTCGAAGCCGGAGGTACCCGCGTGCTGTGTTCCCGCATTTTCTCGAGAACGGACTTCTGGCCTTGTGTTTTGGACGGAGCATTCTTGGCAGGGGTGTATACCCCAATTGCTGGCGTACCGGGCGGTGCTGTCCTGTGCCCTGGCGGTTTGGTCTTGATAGCAAAACGCATGCGCGACGGCGGAGGCTTCGGCAATTCTGGAGGCCGTTCCTCTTTCCCCTCCTCGTCCTCATCCTCACCCTGTATCTCTGGTTATTATATAGAACTTGGAACTATGAGAGCGAGAACCTATGCCTACGTCGGAAGATAATTCAATGAGCACATCCTCGGGTGTGGGCTTAGACTTGGGTCTGGACTGGCTCTTAGGCGTGACTTTGACCTGGCTCTTGGATGTGACCTGGGGTGTCCAAGTCACCTTGGGCTCAGGGTCGGGAACGAATTCCCCCTCGTCATCGCTTGGCTGGCAACCCTGCCTCTTCTGCTTTGTGGGCTTCTTGGCCTGGCTTGAAGAAGCTTGCGAAGGAGTAGGTTTGGAAAAGCCGGCTCCTGTGCTAGGTTGAGAAGGTGGAGGTCTCGCCAAAACGAGCTTTAAAGGGCGCTGGGTACGCACCAGTTCGACCTGTTTCTGCAAGTCCAACGCGCGGTACTCGTGATCGAAGACGAGGTCAACCTCCGCAGTCTCGATGTGCTCGGGCGAAGTTTGGAAGTATCTGGTGATAGCAGCACTGGCCAAGTCGCCGTACGTGGCGCCGTATTTCAGGCTGAGGCGAAAATCGGCGACGGGCTTAGACTTTCTGTTGTGCAAGACTGTATACGGAAAGAGCAGCACGTCGGCGGCGACGCGCTCTCCCTTCTGGACTGGCATAGCGGTGATGCTGCGACGAGTTGCTCAGGAACGTTGGACTATTAATGAACATTAAATTGGGCCGGACCGTAAGGAAGACATGAAACCGTTCTGAACGCAGTGAGAGTGACAAGACACCATAGGTGCGACGGTTGCGATGGGAGCTGCGCTGGTCGGGACGAGCGTTGCCCAGACGGCTGGCGTGATGAATAAAGGAAGGTCCACCGTCCAAAGCTGTGGGCGCAATGCATCTGGGAGCTGCATCTACCAGAAGTTTGGGGAAGAACAAGAAACCGAATAACAGGAAGGCAGCTTGGGTGCGCGCACCCGTGAGACGTTGGTGAGAACGACATGACGACCCCACCACCCAGCGCGTTCCGTGACCTCTATCAAATTTCCACCACTGCAAAGCTTGAACGACTCAGCGAGCTAAACTTACCCTACTTGGAAGGAAGTGGAAATCGCGTCGATGAAGCAGCTACCTACCACGAAGCACGCAGTACCCTGAATTCGTACAGCCTACGCTAAGTTTACTGCACGTTCGCTCTCGTACACCTAGGATGGTACCCTGGCTTTGGAAATTTTGATTCACTCATCGCCAACCTGCACAAGTTACCTTTATCTATGCCGAGGCACGTCCAGGCTGCGTTTGAAGAATTGCTGATTGCTCAGAAGTATGCCAAGATACGATATATCTGTTTGCGCATTGTTAGCAGGGGAGCCAAGTGGACAATGGCAAACGGACGAAAAGAAGAAACAAATAAATGAGACGGCCCCTGTCCAATTGCTCTATCCGACATGACATGCTGAACATGCTTTTTTCCATGTTCTATGCCGTCAGACTTGAGAAACGCGTTACCGTTCCGTCCGTTACATGCTCAGAAACCTCATTTGACTTCTCTGCCAATGCCACCACCGTGAAGAATGATCTCTCACGCAATTTCCAACTTCTCTACCTTGCTCCCTATTCCCTACTACTACAATTATGGCCCGATGCCGTATGCAAGGGCTACCCGGCAACTAATGCACAAACTAGGTTCGGGTAGGTATGGGATAGTCTCAACGCCCATGTAGGCCATCCACCCATATACACCCTGTCGGGTAAGCACTGAATTCATAATTCCGATGTGACAGCTCAGAGCTTCAAAGATGTAAGCGAAGCACAAACGACATGCAATTGACTAGGTTGCTGGAATTAAACAACGTCAAACCTTCACCAGGCTTCCTATCAACGTCGTTGATGTTTTGATCTTGCAGTTTCTCGCACTGTCTCTCGTAATTGGTACCGTGCCTGAACTCATCTCTCGTGAAAAGCGCCATCTATCTGCTGAGGCGCATACGACGCAACGGCCTCCTTACGACAGCCTCTGCATTGGCTCTACCTGCGGGTTGAGCCATTCGCCATCATGGAAAATCTGGAGGATACGCCGATATGTGGTGCTGGTTACTGCATCATGAATTTTGAAACCTCGAAGGAGCAACGACGCTGCTTGGCGCATTCGATTAATTACTGACAATTACTCCTGTACCCGTTTCCCGCGTTCTTGTTTCCATGCCTGCCCAGCTGATAGCCGTCCCCGAAATGGTAACTCCCCAATCTTCAACCCAGCAAGGCTTCAATCAAAAGGGACTCGCTCGATCGCACGGGTCCGGTCCTCTCCCTGACTCCCCTGAACTACCACTTAGAGACAACTCTTAGTGGCAGAGGCTATGTGCTGTGGCGTCAGTCCTCGAAGCTCTGAAGAAATCGCTCCTCGTTGTTGAAAGGTGATGGCATGGACGTGGATGTGATTTTGGCGGAAGTAAAACATCATGTCTTGTAGAAGACTCTTCGGCCGACAAGCGCTCCGTTGAATGGACATAGGAGCTCTTAAACCTTCCGTAGAGCCGATGGGTAGACGTCAACATCACCATAGGTTCGAGCGGTTAAGGTGTTGAGAAGGGAAGGATCATCAGCTTTGCGAAAGGCCCACCACTTTGCCTGCACCGGGCCTTTCGCCGTTAGCCAAGAGAGCCACACGAGCCACGGGCACCGCTTCCCCAGCACGGTCGAGATGGAATGGTACACTTACTCCATCTCGCCGCTGTTTAGCTTGACGTTACGGCTGAGGTCCATGCAAAGCACCATCATCTTGTCTCGAAGCTGGTTCTTCGTGAAATTTTGGGGCTCTGCTCGAGCCTCGACCAAATCAGTGGAAGTCTCGGGCAACTTGTCCTCAAGCCGCTTGATCCAGTCTTCGCTCTCGCACAGAGTCTCCATCTGGTTGAGGGCTGCCATCATGCGTCTCTAACTGCGTGGGAGGTTTGTATGCATGGGTTCGATCTACACAGTCCTTGTTCCTCCTATATTATCCACGAAAATGGCCTTCCAAGCCTCTCGATAGTGCTCCTGAGACTGCCCGTGAGGTTTATTTGAAAGAAACGTGGTCCCGCTTCCATGGGCGACGGAAGGCTACCTGAATACCGTGCCGCTGTGGGGCGGCATACGGAATTCTTTGGCTGGCATCTTTGACTCGTTATTCTCATACTTGGACCGCTTCCAGAGACAACCGGTGGCTACTGGGATTATTCGAGTTGCACATTGGCACCCTGGAGCTTGAAGGTGCCTTGGAAGTTGAAGGGTTGCTAACGTGAGATGACACGGAAATTTATAAAGACTTACAAGATTCCCATGCCACACCACCACCAAGCATACGGCACATTACGCAACTGGTCCATCATCGATTATCACCATGGTGACCCCTGTGGTTTCCGACCCTTGTCCTTCGGGCGTTGTCGAGGTTGTCTCTGATTGCAATAAGTGTCGACTATCATTTTCCAAAAGACTTCTCAAGGTACGGCCATCCTTGGCACAATTTTGCGAAGACTTGCTGGCTTTTACGGAGGAAAAAACCGTAAACAGTGTACGGAGATCCATCTTGTCGTACATTCATCTTTTACGAGCAAAAATATCCAAGAGGAATACAAGCCTCACTATACCGGCAAGAGAAGTTCTCGACTCCTCGAAGTCGGTTTGGCGATTTCATTCCACGTCCTGTTTTCCTTCCTTCTCCAGACCCTTTAATTTCAGCTCACCTCCCTCCCCTGAGAATGCCTCCCCCGAAAATGATGAAGGCTTGGTCGTGTGTACCCGTCCTCATGTGAGACGGGGACGGAGACGGAGAAAGAGTCATCAGCGGAGTTGGCCTCGAGCTCCCGAGGGTGCCTGCGCCGAAGCTCATGCTTGTCGATGGCGGTACAGACGTCACCAGTGACCTGGCTCTGCGCCATCTATTCGGTGCCATCCAGAACGAAGAGACTGAAGAGGAAGTCCACCACTACCTTGCCTTCTATCGATCTGCCGGGACCAATTTGGTCGACAAGATCAACCGTTGCGTCGTAGGCTTTCCCGCCTTCTTCTCCATAGTCGCCACTCATAACGCTAATCTGGTCTGGATCTGGGCCAATACGGCGGAGATGTCAACACGAAGTATGGACAGTCAAAATTGCCTCTGTTGGCATTCTCCATCTCCATTCGGAGTTCATTCATCTACGACACTAGACCAACGGTGGACACGCTCGATCGGTCGGCGGGGAAGGCTAAATTGAAGATTTGAAAGGGCTATTCCTTCTGCTCTACTCTGTCGCACTCAGTCTATGTCCAGGAGCTGGGGGCTTGCCATATCATCAACAAGATGGATGGCCGGGTCAAATTTCCGCTCGGTATCTTTGTAATTTGGACGAGATCACGAAAACTCAATTCATGGCAAGAGGAAGTACGTCGTCGATTTCAATGCAGATCAAGAGGTTGAGGTGACGTAGGTTCCGTCGCCGAACGAGGTCGATGGTTCTCGGGCCAATAAACGACGCGCAGGCGGAATGACAAGTGTGTGACTGTTTTGATTTGACTCAACCACCTTAACTCTCGAACATTTCAGACAAAGATCCAATGTACCCTTATACCACCTGTACTCTTGCACGTTTTCCTTACTACTGCGCGAGATTGCTACATAGTAATCACGAAGTGACACATTGCAGCACCTGCACATGACCCGTGGAAAGCTCTATTACATCCCTGATAGTTTCCTCGTAGGATACTGACGGACAAGGTGCGAAAGGAACCTTGGGGATTGAAGTGCGCGCTAAAACACTATGGACTGGCCTATATTGAGTTCCAATCAAAATTATTGTTGCACCTTGTTTGGAAGGAGCATTGTGGTTCAAATTGGGCCATCATAGCAGACAAGTTATCCGACCAAGATTCTATCGCTTTCCGTCTCCCTCGTCTCAGCCCCAGTCAGCCCCAGCTGTTTTATTATTCCCAAGGCCTGGTGCAATAGGATCAAGATGCGCTCCCCAGACGTCACCGTCATCATCTTGTCCCTGGCCGTGCCTTTGACCCTGGCTTCGTCCCCCTTGAATGAAAAGCATGCCTTCACCCTTCACCAGGTCCGCAACCCCAAACACATAAAAAGCGGCGCCCGCGCTCTAGCCCACGCCTATCGCAAATACGGCGTCCCTATCCCTGAAGCCCTCGCCAACGCCGTCGATGTAGCATCCCTCCCCGCAAAACGGGATGTTATTGCGGGCAGCCTAGTAGCTTCCCCTGAGCAGTATGACTCAGAGTATTTGGTCCCGTTCCTCATCGGCACGCCGTCGCAGAACTTCACCCTGAACATCGACACGGGGTCAGCCGACCTCTGGGTCTTCAGCAACCAGCTGTCGACGACTGAATCGGCGGGCCACAACGTGTATAATCCGGGTGCCAGCACCACGTCGCGGCAGCTGACGGGCTACAACTGGTCGGTGCAGTACGGCGACTGCGGCAGTGGCATCCTCAGTCAAAACTGTAACAGTGCTTCTGGCGACGTATATAACGACGTGGTGAATTTGGCTGGTATCTCGTACGATCAGCAGGCCGTAGAAACGGCCAGCCAACTTTCAGACGACTTTGTCGAGGATACGAGCAGTGATGGGCTCGTCGGGTTGGCCTTCGGCTCGTTGAATTCGGTGCAGCCGAACAAACAACGGACCTTTTTCGAAAATGTTAAATCCTCGCTGGCTAGTCCGATATTTGCGGCTGATCTGAAGAGTAACACGAGTAAGTTATATCATCCTATCTCCCTGGTTTTAGACCCTGAACGAAAAAAAAAGGTAACCAAAGCAAATCCAGCCGGCACTTACGACTTTGGCTACATCGACACGTCCAAATTCAGCGGGCCCATGACATACACCGCTGTCGACACCAGCAACGGATTCTGGGAATTCACCGCGTCGGGCTACTCCATCGGCGATGATGAGTCAAACGACCATATTACCGGCATAGTCGACACGGGGACCTCGCTCCTGCTACTCGACCAGAGTATTGTCCAGTCGTACTATGAACAAGTCTCAGGGGCGTATAACTCGAACACGTACGGCGGATATACCTTCGACTGTGACGTCAACCTGCCCGACTTTACCTTCAAGATTGCTAGTACAGGCGAAGCTGATGCGAGCATTGTGGTTCCTGCAAGGCACATCAACTACGCCCCCGTGTCGGAGGGCTCGTCGACGTGCTTCGGGGGTGTGCAGTCCAACTCGGGCATTGGCTTCACCATTTTTGGGGACGTGGCGCTGAAGGCGGCCTATGTCGTCTTCGATGGGTCGAACGCGCCGCGCTTAGGATTTGCTTCTAAGCCGACTTAGTGTTGATCTTCTACCGTGGCTCCTCGGGAGCTCATGTCAGCACATAGTATTCTTTCACCCTAACTATCTCGGAGATTTCCCTTCAAGTGACTTGAAAGCTTGTTACAAATAAGATATCGAACCGGGTATGTGGAATGTAGGGGTGGTTTAATGTCTGAGGATGGTATCTATGATACCTCTGAATCGCAACATCGTCCAGTCACCGAGTTTTTACAGCACTGTAACTCAAAAAACCAACCCATCACGCTCGGGGGCTTTTTTTCGGGAGATGACCGCTTCCAATGCTCGAAACCGTACAACATTATATCTTCACAGCGAATGCTGTGATGAGAATACCTATAGATTATCAAGCGATGCTACGCACGCACCCCTTCCCGGCATATCCGGGGTAACTCCACTTTGAATTTCCGTCGCTTCGGCAATTCGAGCCATGCCGGCATTCGCGAATGAATCCGTCGTTTTGGAGGGTTGTTGCCGTTGCTTATTGGCACTTACTTTCGTGCACGAGACAGGCAACATTCCACACAATTTCACCATATATTCTCGGGTTCGTTCCGGGCTCTTGCCATTGGCAATCAGCTAAATATCTATTCATTTATAGACTCCGCTGTGCCGCTTTGGGACCAACGCCGTATGCCTCCCCATTTCCCCGCATGTGCCGCACCTAATCATGCCGTGTGTTCACCCTTCAAGTCTACAGGTGAGCAAGCTTATAAAGTATTTTTCTACATAAATAGACAGTACTGCCGTACGAATTCGTCTGCGGTGGGGCAATGGACGAACCGCCTGAATGTTTCCTGACGCTTCTGACGCTTGCCTGATATGCATGTCGGGGCATCACTCATGCATTGCCTACATCGTTGCTTCAAAGACGGATTTGCCGATGCTACATATGGGACACGAGAATCAAACAGGAACCCAAGTCGAGGCTATCGCAATAAAATTTGCTCTATCGTCAGTCTATGCCTCTACCTTCTAAATCTTCGTGTTCTTTATCAGACCGCAGTAAGCTGACGGGCGGGAAGCCATTCTAGTATATACATGTCCATGAACCTGCACCTGATCCACCATTCAACCCAAACCGATACTCATACCTTGGGGGGAGCAAGCTTCAGAGGTTCCGTGCCAATGCCGTTCGCATTTCGGAAGAATAGCACGCCCTTGCCCTCTCCCTCAGCCCCCTCGCTAGGCTCGACCCATTGGCACATGCGCGCCGATCGCCACAGGGCCTTGATGAATCCGATGGAACCATCCCTGGTATCCGAGCGGTAGTGGCGGCCCATGACCTTCTTGATGGCATCCGAGGCCTCGTCGGCGTTGTAGAATGGGATCGTGGACACGTAGTGGTGCAGGACGTGCGTCTCGATGATGCCGTGTAGCAACTGGCGGCCGATGAAACCAAACTCGCGATCAATAGTGGCGGCGGCACCGCGGACGTAGTTCCACGACTCGGGCTCGTAATGCGGCAGGGTCGGGTCGGTGTGCTGTAGGAAAGTGATGGCAACTGGATAAAACGTCAATCATTGTTACACGACGGAACGTCATAGTATGTGGCACAACTTACCCAGCCAGTGGTTGACCCACAGGTACGGCAGGAAGTACCAGACGAGCATGTTGCTGAAGCCGAAAGACTTGGTCAAGAAGAACAAGGCCGTGGCCGTCAGGCCGACGCCCAAGTCACTCAACAAGATCAGCTTGGCGTCCTTGGCTTCGTACAGGGGACTAGAGGGATTGAAGTGGTTGACACCGCGGAAGAGGCCGTTGGTCTTGCCCTTGCCGCGGCCCTCGCGCTGCTTTTCGTGGTAGTTGTGGCCCGTGATGTTGCCAGTAAGGTAGTAAGGCCAGCCGATCAGCTGCTGTCCAATGAGGTGAATCAACGTGGCAATGGGTGTCTCCTCACCGAGCTCGTTGAGCTCGTGAGCTAGCCTGCCGATGCGGCTGGCGCGTTCCTCTCGCGTCTTAGGCACGAACACCATGTCGCGGTGCATGTTGCCCGTCGCCTTGTGGTGCTTACCGTGCGAGATCTTCCAGCTGAAGTAAGGCACCAACAGAGACGAGTGCAGGACCCAGCCGACCGTGTCGTTCAAAACTTTGGAGGGGCTGAAGGCCTGGTGGCCACATTCGTGTGCCAGCACCCACATACCGGTGCCGAAGAGACCCTGCAGGACCGTATACAGGCCCCAGAGGGCACCGCGAGCAGTGGTCGAAGGCACGTTCTCGGGCGTTAGGTACGTGTGGAACAGGTAGAAGGTGGTGGCCAGGCAGGCGATATCACGGAAGACATAGTACAACCCTTTGGCCGCCGAACGCTCAAAGCAGTGCTTGGGAATGGCGTCGTGGATGTCCTTGATGGTATAGTCGGGCACGACAAACTCGTTGCCGTACGTGTCGATGAGCTTGCCGTGCGACGACGACGCCTTTTCGCCCATGGACGACATGGACGAGAGCGAGGTAGAAGAGGCAGAATGCCTGGGCGAGTCGATGGGGGACCCCATCCTGGTCGAGGGCGAAGAGTCCGAGTCGACCGTCGTCGAAGTCATGGTGCGGCGGAAGGCAGGGTTCTGTCGCGGTGCGGTTGCCGTTGTTGAAGGCATGATGATGTTGTTGCTGCTGCTGCTGCTGCTGCTGGCAACTTCCAGGATTGTGGGGGAAGAATGTCTTGTCGGTTGCGTCTCAGACGAGAAAGATGTCGAACGCCGATTAAGTGTATGACGACTGTGGATGCGTGGACAGTGGCCTGTGTGCAGGATGAGGAACTGGTATGGGATAAGAAGGACAGTTGTCGCAAGTTTGGAAGTCGACGATTTGTTGGGACAAGTATGGAACTTGGCGTGCAAGCCTGGGCGGGATGCAGGAAACTCCTCAAGTGCAGTTTGAGCCAACAAGCCCACTGGACCACCGGACACGAAGATGAACAGAACCGAAGAGGTTGTCAAGAGTTGAAGAGGGGAAGAAAAGGCAGGAAAAACCAGGAGTGCTGAGGTTGAGTGCCGTCTTTCCTTTTATCGAGGAAAACTTTAGATGTTGAATGTTTGACCCGCCCTCGTTTTATGCGAAGACACTATGGAGTACGTACTTTGCAGTGGTACAGAGCAGGAGCCAGCTTCAATCAATGGCAAGATGAAAAGCAGCTGCGCCCGCCAAGCAAAAATCGAGACACCGCCATAAGCAATGCAACAGTTGCGGCGATCACCCCCGAGATGCGACAAGACATCTGGGGCAGGCCGGGGCCAGATGGCAAAAGCGAAGAATTCCCTTGTGAAAATGCTTGAAAATGACCCGTGTGCCCCTCGATAAGTCCACTCCAGGCTGGATTGGGCAAGTTTCGAGTGGTGTTCGATAGGGTTTGGCTGTCTTGTCAGGGATCGCCAGGGATTACTTAGCCAATGAAGGGTGGGTACGTACTAAGTACAGCGCACTGCTTGAAAACGCCTTGCTACTCCCGGCTCCGAGTTTCTTCCAGCAAACTCCACCTTCCCGAGGATGAAGCAAGTCAAAGTTCAAAATTGGTTGACTGCATGTGTCAGACCTAGGTTTTGCTTCGTCTTTTCTTCCTGCTTTCGAGGTCACACCGCCTAAAGTCTGAGCCAACCTTTCCACCGGTCACTTAACTTCATAGCCAACCCCACATGCAACGGCCCAGTCCGTCACCACGAACATCTTGAACATCACCTGCACCTTTTCCATATCTGATGGCGCCAAACTTGCCTCTCGGTGAGCTGACGGTGTCTCTGACAAGCGTCACCTGGCACCTAGATTGACAGACATTCTTGGCGTGTCAATCTGAGAAGCACCTAACTTGAGATTATTAACGTTATCTCATGTGAAAGCATTACCTCGGCAGAACTTGATTCGACATGGCCTCTCTCGGGAGGAACATGCAATATGCCCCTCGGTCCCTTCGTACACGTCTAGTCCTCATTGATTGGAACGGTTGCGTATGCTGGTGGACCTTATATAGTTGGACATCTACTTCGTCATCTGCAGAGCAATATTGAACGTTTTCGAACCGCATTCAGCGAACGGAACCGCTCGAGCCAATTGTACCTTATTCAGAACGCTCTGTTCATCTGATTGTCGCGGATCATAGGATGGATGTCCTGAAATGTGTTTCCAGACATTCGACGAAGTCAATTACCCCTCCTCGCACCTCCCACAGTCCCGCCGTCTTATCGTGCGGTAATCAAACGCGTGGGGTTGGATTCCAGTTCAATGTCCATCGCTAGCCCGCCACCGATCGCCAAGTGCAAATTCAACGGAACACTGCATCGAATGATTGTTTGTCATTAAGAGACGAGCTGTCTCTCTTCATCCGTCTAGTTTACAGCAGCATTTCAGAGATTTGCCACTCCATCAATAACAACCTGAAAAAAAAAATTTACATCAAAATACAATCGACGTCAGAGCCTCAAGCTTCCTCAAAGCGCCAACGATCTGAACCCCTGAAATCTTGAACCGTGGCATGCAGGGTCCAGGGTCGAGATTATCCCAAATCCTAGTCACCAACACGGCGACTTCAGGGGTTCTCCGCCTTTTCAAATTTTCTGTTGGGGACGTTGTCAATTGTTGGGTTGGGCTGATCCCGGCTGATCCCTGCTGATGTAGCATGTGCCAATCGCCTGGGGGGGCAATTCCCACATGTGGCAACCCGACAAGTGTCGCTAACGAGATCTCACAAAGCGACATCTGGAATTGATTTGATTGGTCAGTTTCATCATCTACACTACACCGACGGACCAATCTCAAATCATCGATCTACTGCAATGTCTTCGTTGTCCTTGGTCAGGTCTACCATGGTTTCTCGCAGTGCAACGCACAACTGGTGCTGCATGATCTTGAATTCGAAAGTCCAATTGCCTCATTGAGTATTACCCGTCGACCACAGCACTGTTCGCAATTCCCAATGGACCTCGTGCAAGCCCAATAAAGCCTTGGGCCGCTCCACTTTTCCATGCATGCATCTCACTTGCCATCATTTTGTACTACACTACAGACTACGAGGAGCCTTCTGACGTGTTCGTGCTCAATATGCCGCGTTGTACTCTGTACAACATTCGATTTCAGCGTAGGAAAGCCAAATTCCGCGAAAAATTCAACTTGCGCCTTACTCAACAGCCGCTAGGTAGCGATAGTTTCAACCGCCTGCCAGTCACATACAGATGCTGAGGTCATCCAGTACTTTTGTGTATCAAGCTTCATGGCCGCCTAGTATCAATCAGCCTTGCACGTCGTACTGCTAGACCAAATACAACTCCTCTCCCAAACAATTCAACATCCACTTGCTATTTGCATGTCATACATAGTCGATGAGTCTCAAACAGCTGAAGTTAATCAGAGACATATTCATATTCGTCGACACTCTTTTAAAGAAGTTAAGCACCCTACATGTTGGGTTTCAACGTGGTTAATATATCCCTAGAAGCACTACTCGTGCTACACCCCACTTATTACACCGAGTTAGCTAGGACACTGAATTAGCTAATTTCTCAATTAATTCGTCTTCAACCCACTAAATCTTTACTAAGTTAACTTCCTTTTTTCGGTCGTAACAGATTCATAAATATAGGACGCCGTGCGAGATAAATAAACGAGCCCCCTAAGGAAAGTTTCGAGTAAGTTACGTGTAAATTCGGCGTCCTACGCGAGACCTTATAATACCGCGTCTAGCAAGCCGTTCCTATTCAACTACGAGGAGTGCTTCAAAATTTACTTACTAGTCTAAAGAAAAGGCACTCTATAATTACATTAACCGGCTTAATAGGATTAATTGCACGGTTCGCGTCGAGTTTGTGACTAACGCTATAAACACCATCCTAAGTCAGAGGATTCAGGTTTCATTAAATCTACTACTACCTACAGTTAGTACTAAACAGACTATACGCTTCCTAAAGCGCTATAGTTACTTCTACGCCTACTAGAAGAAGCTTTGTTCTAACCGTCAGTCTACTAAAAATACAGGTATAATACGAGAGTATTTCGGACGGCTTGAGTAACTCCTCAACATGCATTGTGGTGATTGCGATAACATGTAACTTGCAAAGTTGTCGTTGTAATTTATGAATAAAGATTTGTAGACCGTCAAACCCCTCCTGAATGGACTGAGTTCACATCGACCAAAAGTTAGCAGTGTGCATTCCGCGACTTCGGCCTGACATCATGTAGAGATGCTGCCGGCCCATCCTGTGAGTGAAGATGAAAACGGGATCAAATGTTGCCGTTCACGACAGACTTCTACTAAGTGATGGCGGACACAACCAAGTAAGTAAAAATACTCGTATGCGTGCGTGGTCGAGTCTCGCACTGTTGTTGGTCTTCCGGGGAAAATTCTCGCACGGGGTCGACTTATAAAAGAATGGGGTGAGTGGGAGGGCATTGCACAGGTCCCCTCGGCTGTCCCCTCGGCTGTCCCCTCGGCTGTCACTGAGCTAAATATGTTGCTCGTGGTTCTGTCCGTTATTTCTACCTTCGTCTAGATGTTCCGAGTAGTTTTATCAAATTCTGAGATTGTTGTTCAATGGTAAGTCTTCATGGCCATCATCTATTGTCAGATAGGGCACCTGGTTCCTAGGTTCAGAAATAATATGGCACTAGAGAAGACTATTGTCACTTAAAGTTCAGAAGGCGAAAGGAACCCCTCTTCTCAAAAGTAACACCAAAGTTACCGACATGTTCTAAAGCATCTATAAAAGGCAGAGCAACGGGAGTTCGCGAGAACAGAAGTGTCAGAGCCACAAGTGTCATCCGAGGCGGGCCGGCTTCCACCAGGAAGGAAGTCGTTTGTGGCGGCTAGAGAGCCGCTTGTGGCGAATGAGAGCTGTTGAAGCCGTTTGCAGCGGATAGGGAATCGCTTGGTTGCAGATAAAGAGCCGCTATCCAAGATGTTGGCCGAAGTCGGAGGAACACAGACATGCGGAAGCAAACATCCAGAATCCAACAGAGAACCTCGGCTGGCTATAAGTAAGGAGTCGAGACGGAGGAAGATAGAGAGGGGAGAGATCAATAAACGACTGTGGACACCCCTACCTGCCATCACCAAGTGACCACCAGTGAACACCAGGTGACCACCAGGGGGACACGCCTATTTCTCCCCTTCACTCTGTACTATCGCCTTCGGTCCAGGCCGTACCCTGACAAGAAGACAGACAGACAAGAACACACCTCATTTATATACAATCTTACGCACTGCTGACTACTCGATTGGACACACGTGATATTCGACATCTATTGGTGCATGGCTAGTTAGACGGTGATAAGGATGTAGCTACCCCGGTGTCCATCAATGAGTGCTGAGATCTACCGACATCAATTAATTTGTTTACCATCACTGCCAGGTTCCCTGCCACTATCGGTGGCGCCAGCAATGAGAAGATAATCCAGAAGTTGTGCGTAAAATCTATTTATATGCGGCCCCATCCAGGAGCATACTTTCATCTTTATAATTCGTCGAACGTGGACAGTATAGTACTTACTGAATCAGCATGTATCACAACGGGAGAGAGGGGCTGAGCTCCCAAAATGTAAATTTATCCATTCCTCACTGTTGTCGCGGAAACACAAGCACAGACTAGAGTAGAGTATGTATTCACATGTAGAGCACATCAAATTCTATCTTCATCGTACCATCTCGTTCAAACTCCACTTGAATTATTAAACGATCCGTTGCCTTGCGCGACCAAATATGATCCTCACATCATGTGTGCTACGCACCGACCGCCTCACCTCTACATTAGATCGGCTCATCCCTCGGCTCAATCAAAATCTCATTCACAGCCACATGCTCGGGCTGGCGCAGCGCATAGGCAATCGCCTCGGCGACATCTTCGGGATCCAGTACTCGCGCCCCTGAAGGCTCGCCAAATTTCTTGATGGCCTCGGCATCGGTCGACATGCCCAGCAGCTCCGTCGCCGTGTTACCAGGTTGTATGCTGGTGACGCGCAGCCCGGTGCCGGCCGTCTCGAGACGCAGGCTCTGCAGTGTCGCTTCGACGAAAAACTTGCTGGCCGAGTAGACGCCCAGCCCCGGGAAGACCTTGCGGCCGGCGTCTGATGAAATGGATACAATGTGGCCCTTGCCGCGGGAGAGCATCGACGGGACGGTCGAGGAGAGGCAGTGCAGCAGACCTTTACAGTTCACATCGACCGTGCGCTCCCATTCGTCCGTCTGCACGTTGGCCATCATGGTGAAGTACATGACACCAGCACAGCTGACGAGGATATCAATGGGGCCGAGCTGTTCCGTGGTTTCCCGCATCAGCGCTTCCACTTGGGTCTTGTCTGTGACATCGGTCTTCTGGACGATGATCTTGCCGGTGTTACCAGCAAGCCTGGCCTTGAGTGTTTCTAGCGGCTTAGTACGGCGTGCGGCGAGGGCAACATGGGCTCCATCTCTGGCCAGTGCAGTGGCAACGGCAGCTCCGATACCAGAAGACGCACCCGTCACGACAGCGACGCGACCAGCCAGGGGTCCCATTTCTTTTCGGACGGCGTTTTTGACCGTTTGATCCCGTCGTGGCGGTCGTGGGAGCCAACCTCTGGCGTAGAAATCACGAGTGTAAGTTTGAAACAGCTTGCTGTCGATCTTGGGGCGTTCAAGTCCGTACTGGCTGAGAATGGGTTGAGTAGCACCATCCTTGAGAACTGACACTGCCTTCAAGAAATCGACAGTCGGCATGCCGCGACGAAGGATACCGGCAGTAAACGAGTCGTCGCCCGCTTTGCTGGCACCCCTCTTCTGATTCCATAGCGCAACCCAATCGTTCCAGCCAAGCCGCTCTGTCGGATACCCAAGCTCCGTGAGGGTATCGAGCAGAGATGAGGCACTTACTGGGCTTGGATCGCCAAGGTGGTAGACAAGTTGGTCTCCATCGACATGGTTGGACAGCGTCGTGATGGCTTTGCTGACGAAGTCGACCGGTGTCATCTCGGCAAGCCAACCGTCAATATCAGGGGCAGTTCCGAGGTGGATCGACTCGACGAACAAGGCCGTAAGAAGATCATATGTGTTGGTCGAACCTAGGACACTGTGGCCACTAATTGTGCCAGGACGATGTATCTTGACCGGCATACCTCGGCGACTGGCTTCTCGTACGAGCTGTTCGGCAACCCATTTGGTTTGTCCATAGCCGTCAACCAACTTCTCCGGCACATCTTCAACGTCAATGACGGCATCTTCCGTCCATCCATCGGTCGAAGGAGGCAGCACGCCATTGGTGGAAATATGGTGAACTGTGGCGCCGCTGTGGGATGCCAGGCGTAGGATCTCCCTCGTGCCGCCAACATTGGCGCTGCGCATGGCGGCGTAAGGATAGCTGTGGTCATTAGCATCAGTATGTCAAGAATGCACGGATGCGGAGACCCGTGACAGAGAGGGTGTCACTTACACAAGGTTGACCGTTGCGCCGCAGTGGATAATGACTTGAACCCGCGACGCCAGCTCCTCAAAAGTGCCTTCTGATAGACCCAGGTGTTTCCGACCAAGATTTCCGGGAAGGATTTCTACGCGGTCCAGAATCGAGTCGTGCCAAATTCCCAGGTCTAGCAGATTCTTACGCAGCCGGGCCATCCCTTCAGGGCGAGCGTCCCCCGAAGGGTGGGCGAAACGCACGAGACACACCACATTGGCTGACGTGCTTTCCAGGATCGAAGTCAGTAGGAAGGCGCCAAGGTACCCAGTCACACCGGTCAAGAAGATTGTGTCGGCTCCGCTGAGAGCACACATTGAGATGCCCCTAGGTTGAATATCGTCTGGCAGAGCCGAGTCGGCGCGCAGAAAAGCCGGAAGGTCTGCTTGCACTGCAGCGACATGTCCATCACGAGCAGAACGTACCACCTCAAGGTGGCCCTCGAGGGTAGGGTTCCCGGCCAGACGAGCTAGTGGGACAGGAAAGCCGAAGCCCTCGGTCAGTCGCCGTGCCAAGTCCGCGAGTGCCAAAGAGTGTCCGCCCAGGTCAAAGAAATCGTGCTCCTGTGTCACGGAGCGAACCGACAAGTTCAACGACGCGGCCCATATCTTGGCAATCTGCTCAACCTTGATTGATGTGTCCTTCTCCTTCTGTTTTTTTACACCGTTGGTTTTCCTCAATAACATCATAGGGTCGGGCAGCGCCTTCAAATCTACTTTGCCTGAGACTTCGTGAGTAGGCAGCTCATCCATTTGAATCCACAGAGCCGGTATCATATAGTGGGCGAGGTGGTCTGCCAACGCTCGCCGCGCTACCGGACTGTAACCCGAGTCCTCAACGGACAATACGGTACGACCAGCAGGCTCATTATCACGCACGAAGTATGCCACTAGTTGTCGTTCTAGGCCATCCCCATGAGCAACAACGGCACAGTGCTGTACTGACAGATGCTTCACCACCGTATTCTCAACAGCGCCTGGTTGGATGCTGTATCCCCGAAGCTTGATCATGGCTCCGACACGACCAGTAATCTCCAGCAGGCCCGATGGGAGGATACGGGCTGTATCGCCGGTCCTATACATGCGCGCACCTGATGTCTGATCAAAGGCGTCTGGCAGGAACGCTTTGGATGTGGTATCTGGAAGATTCAGATAACCACGTGCCAAAAGACTGCCACCCACAACCAACTCTCCACTGACTCCAGGTTGAACCTTTCGACCATCCTCGCCGAGGATGTAAGTGTGATTTGGATCCATCGGGGGTCCGACGGGGCATACTGTGGCTTCGGCACTGATCATCTCCTGACAATCGCCGCACGCGATTTCGTGGGTCTCACTGGCACTGTAGCAATTGAGTAAACGAGTCTTGGGAAGTGCCTTCAGTGTCCGCTGAACCAGATCCGTAGTGACGACCTCGCCATTGAGCCAAAGGGTTCGGAGATCTGGTAGGCGGCTGTCCAGTTTCGAGTGTCGGGAGAGAATTGTAGTGAGTAGGGTTGGAGTCATGAGAGTCTCAGTGATGCGTCGATTCGCGAGCAGGTCCACGAGAGCCAGGGGGTCGTAGCTTGCCTCGTCTGGTACGGCAACAACGGTGGCACCCCGCAGTAGGGGGCGCAGGATTTCCCAGATGAAGAAGACGTTGCATGCCACCCGATCACCCGGTCGGAGATCACTCAGACGAAACCGTAGATCGTATGAAAGCACGGGAGCTCGATGAGGGTTGGCAATGCCTTTTGGCTTTCCAGTGGTGCCACTGGAGTACGACACGAAGGCGAGCCGGTCGAGATCATCGTCTGCCGGTAACGGTAAAGACTCCTTGGCGGTGCTATTTCTCGGTGCCGCGCCATTGGTATTCGCCTCAGGTTCGTCAAGTATGATGAGGGGGGCCTCCGACTTGAGTTGTCCAGCATGGGCCCTGTGTGTGATCACGACAGTGGGCCGCGCATCCTCGATGACATCGGCTAACAACCCCGGGGGATAGGCAAGTTCGAGGACGAGGAAAGCCCCACCCGCACGCAAAGCCGCAAGACACGCGATCATGTAGTCTGCACTGCGGCCCAGCAGCACCCCGACAAGCTTGTCACGGCCGACGCCATAATGTCGAAGTCGGTCAGCCAGAGCACTTGTCTCACGTTCCAGGTCGGCATAAGTCAACGTCTTGCTGTCGTCCTCTAAGGCGACCAGGTCAGGCGTGGCTCGGACTTGGTCGTGGAAGAGTGCTGATAAGTCTTTGTTAATATCGATCACGGGCATCTTGGATCTTGGATCTTGGATCTTGGATTGAAGGTGGGTCGTGTGATGCGAAGTGGGGGGGTTGAGAGAAGTACTGGCTCTCTGCCTCTCTCGGACGGAGAAGTTGGATGAATGGACGTTTTCCTATGGTTCCTCAGCAGACTAGCAGTCAAGATTGCAAGATTGTTCCAATCCGTGGCGATATCCCGCGTAATTGGCAGACCGTACAAAGCCTCGGCCACGATTGTGATACGTAATAGCTGATCAAAACCGGTCAGAACCACCGCCTACCGACGTCGAGATGAGTGGACAATGGATCAATGGCCTCTCTGAACAGCGGGGTTTCTGCCCTGGCCGTCAGAGTCCAAATCTGTATCACTTGGAAAGTCGGCGGTGTGAATTTCCTCGTGGAGCTACTGCAGGGTCAGCTCGGCTTGTCTGCGTATCGACTCTTCGGGTGTATTCAGGTAACGCTAGCGATACCACGAAGAAAGAGCCACCACCACTTCGACCATGAGTCGTCGAGTTGAATCGTCACTGTCTGTTGAGATGGGACGTGACGTCAGGGTCTGGTCAGGGGCAGTGTTCAGATGGAGTTGAACAAATGAATATCTTCAGTCTCAACCTTATCCCCGCCCGGATCTCAGCTCAATACTCTCCACGGCTTCAGACCAATCCGATTGTTCACCCACTATTTGGGTACGTTCAATTTCTCGCAGGCTTGGTGGATTCCAACAGCGGAGACGAAAAGAGAGTTGGTTTTTAGGGCAGCCTGTGGGAAGCCACGAGCGGTCTGGGCTGGCTGGCTCGCGGAACTCGCCGGTGAACAGCTTACCGAGAACCGGAGCCAGCTTCTGAAGATGCCATGCCAGCATTGGCCGTAAGGCGGCCGCGTTACCGGATTTGGCATGGTTGTAGGACCTCGGGAGTCTGGGAAGTCAAAGCCATGATTTCAAGACAAGATGGGAAGGAAAATTTTGAGTGTTGGGGGCAAAAGACGGGATGGAAGACAAATGATTCCGGAATCTGTCATCCGCGCAAACCTAGATCTGGGATCGAGGTCGTTACAGGAAGCCCACGGGACATCCCACAGCGAGTTGAGTGCAAGTTGAAAAAAAGACCCCAGACCCCGCTACCAATTGGAGGCGCGGGGCCCATGCGGGGCAATTAGATGGCACACGCCCTGAAAATTGTCATCCCAGTTGGCATGTTGTTGGTTGGTCACCAACACCAAAATGAGTCTGGATTATTCATGATTCTCATCTTCAGGTTTTCAATGTCTCCATTATATCTTGTCTACATCAAGGTCAAACCCGTAAACCTGTCTAAAGTATGGATGCCTAAAGCCTATGTACCTGATCTCCACTAGTGTGACCTGTCAACGCCAAACAAACCGCTAGCACTTGCACACAAGCACTCGAAGATCCTTTGCCAACACCCATTCCGTCTGCGCACATATCCCCATCGCGAAGTCCGTTTCGCCCATCTTGACATAACTCTACTTGTCATACCAGTCTCCTGCCACGAAAGGTGGCTTGCTGGGGTCCGCGAGCTCATTGAGAACCGAGGCTGATGCTGATGAGTACGTGGTTGTAATGTAGGTTTCCAGGTCGACGGGTGGGACGAGTGACCGAAGGCTTTATGAAGGTCTTCGCGCCAATGGCCGCTATAGCTGAAGCGTCCGATGCGAGGGCCCTTGTCGATCTGTGTGGGGTTTGCTACTGGTGCGGCTTCTTAGGGAACAAGTATGGCAGCATCTTTCAACGATGAGCCATCTTCCATGGTGATAGGAGCGACCATCCTGACTATTTGGTAGTTAAGAATAAAACATGGGTTGTGGTGCTGTCGTATTGAGCAGACCTATATTTGAGCGCGGTGGGGGATCGACTGACGGTCGTTAGTCTGGAGGTTGTGTACAATGCAGCTGCGAGATGTCGACCCAAACTGACTCGATGACTCTAATCAAATTCAACTCTTCAGACGAATTGCTCTCTGTTTTCTCTGACGCAGGGTCACGATATATATCGAATGGCGCTACACCAGCCTTCGCTTCCCATGACCCATTGCTCTGGACAGGCATTCTTAGATCGGAGTTTACATCTAGAGAAGCATTGTGTATTTTTCGCAACATATATAGTAATTTGTCGCCTCTGGTCACAGCATGGTCGCGATGCATACTGTCTGAAAGTTTGAGGATTGGATGGATTCAATTCCACGTGCAACTTTGTAACGTCGAGTATCCATTTATATTACTCTTAATTGTGTGATCGGTCATATTGAATCATGAGATGCAATGAATACTTAGCAATTTAGCAATAGACACTTGGACACCTGGAGAATATCATTACCCGCTTTCACCCCTTTACTTCTGCGTATCACCCACCGAGCAAGAACCAACTCTCTACCTTATCACTAGAAAACCACCTAATCCATCCTCCTCGATCAACCCAGCCACCAGCCTCTCAACCAGCGAGGTGACCTGGTGATTAGGATGGCTCATATAGTCCTTTAACTCATCCCGAGTTGCGCCCAAGACGACGCGCTCCACGAGGGTCGACTTGTCAGATACGACCTGGATCCGAATCACGAGGAGTTCATCATTGGGCTAGTTGGAAACGGCATCAGGATACATATGGAAGCACAATATATGGCACACGGGGAGAATCGGGAAGAAAATGAAAACTACGGCGTAGAAGATGTCGAGCGTGGTGAACAGGGGTTCCAACAGGCGGTACCAGAACGTGTGTCGCTGGGCTTGTTGCCAGCGTATGGCTTGCGGAGCTGGCTTGCTTCGGCTTGATCGTGGTTGCAGTGATGATGGAGTGGTGATGAAGAAGAGGAGGAGAAGGAGGAGGAGGGAATGATGTTTGTCTGTTCCGAGCTCGCTTTCGATTCCTTAGTGGGAGAGGCTGGACTCTCTGGCTTAGGGTGGTGCAAGGCCTCCTTCTCCTTATCGGTTTGATCGGTGCTATAGCTGACACTTCTCTCATTTTCCTCCTGGGTAGCGAATTATTCCCAGCAAACCTCGATGCCCGCCGCGGAGATCTCTTCGTAGCTCGTATAATACAGGAGGCTGCAGCCGATGTGAGAACTATTTGTGAACTTGTCCTTGTCGAAGTCATGGCCCACGGCCTTTGTGAAGACTGTCTCGATACCTTGCAGGTGCTCAGGTGGAGTCCACACGAAACTTCGGAATCTGCTCTCTTTCTCCCGGCGCTGGGCGGCATCCAGAGCCACGAGGGCGCCTTATTGGCAAGGAAAGGCAAAATGAAGCAAAATTCATCGCAACCCAGGATGCCAGTGACCATGGGCATGGTAGACAGACCCACCGTAGGGGTAAGCGGAAGCGGCCGGTTAGCGATATACGGGATAACGAGGTATCCAACAGTAGTAACGGCGCGGAGGAGGTACGAAGTAGCCCTCCCATACTGAGTGCTATAAGATTTCTCATGTAATATAGGGCTAGGCGGACGTAACGCCTTAGAACCCGCTACCGAGGGGGTATAGCAGTACGACAGCGAGCGAAGGTGGTAGTTAATAAGGAAGAGAACACGCTATATTTTTAGCTATAGCGGTCTAACCTAACGTAGCGAATTTGACCGTTTTTGTTCAAAGTCTATACTTGATTACGGGTAAACAATATGGTTGTAGCAAATATCCTAATGTTAACGGCTCATACATTCGTTAATACATAGTTGAAAAATCAAGCCACACGAACCCCTGTGCCCTAAGTTAATTTACCCACCTCTTTCAAGAGGTGGCTCAAGCGCTTCTAGCGAGCCACCAAATAGTACGCAACGACTACGTTAAATGCCTGTTGCCAAAATACACACCGCATCGCAGCGTGTGCGCTATACTAAAGCAAGAAAAAGAAAGTGTTCAAACCCACATTATTATGTTTAGCCCTGTTTCTTGGCTCATCACTGAACGCTGGACACTCTCAAGGCAGTGCCGCTGTCCCATACAGAACTACATATGAGACGATCTCCGCAGATCTGCGAAAAGTAAGAAGTTGTTAGAACATGCTCATGTGAATCTGCATCCGGCAATACCTTTCCGGCGACAGATTTGCAGTTCGAGCCACTGCCATGTGGATCGTGTCGAGAAGTCGGTGGTCATGGTATAAAATTAAAAGATGTCAGCAATATTTAGTATCTAGTACTACACTCGCTTGGAGATAACAGGTATCCGAAATGCACCTGAAACAGCGCTGGAGGCGGGGTAAACTCTACCCATGTATATAGTTCAGATTGTCCAGACAAGCAGCATGTAGAGAATTGAACCTCACTTCCGACCCGAAATTCTACAAAAGATCTAGACCCCATGGGACCTGACTCGCAATGGCGTGTTCCGTCTTGGTATGGCGAGTTTTCCCCAACTTGATAGAAACGGTAAGTGCATTTCGTCGTCCGAGCTAAAAGCGTCAAGCTTTTGACCGCTCAAGGAGCCAGAAGTATGGCACGAATAAAAGCATCCTACTCGAGGCACATATCCCTGTTCGTCAAATAGCTAGGTTTGTGTGTTGATGCGGAGCAGAGAGTGATCAAAACCCCATGAATCCTACGTGGCCTTCCAGACTGACTTGATACCTTTTGCCTTTCTCGATGTGTAACTAAGGCGAAGACTTATCCTCCACCCAATCTGGGTCCCGGCCACCTTCACCAACTGCTGTGCCAATAGGCAAATGACCAACAGAACCGATGGCCTAGTCGGTGCCGTGCCTCCACCGCCGGGGCGCGTGCCGAATTTCGAGAATCCTCAAGATCTCGGTACAGTCAATTCGATCTTCCTAATACTCACTTGAATATTATGAAGAATTAGAACTTTGTTTAGAATGCCAGGCGGCTGTCTGTAAATGATGAGCTGACCAAGTTCGCTGTAGGACGAGTGCCTCATTTAATTGGCGTAATCACTTGCTTCGCACTGAGCACCCTCTTCGTCGCCATTCGTTGTTACGTGAAAGTTACCAATACGAATCGCCGTTGGATGATTGAAGACAGTATGTGTATATCCCATTTCATGGACATGGACATCTCACCTCAATAAATATTGACAATAACACAGTGACTTGCCTTGCATCATGGGTACGCAATGCTTCACAAATAGCCACCTCTCACTCATCGTGTTGACAAGAATAGACCTTCCTAGTTGCGTATTCTACAACCATTCTCAAGAGTAAATCATGATCACTACCTCTCGATACAAGTGAGACTAACTGCCTATAAAGTGATTAGCCACGGAGAAGATCATCATGGTACGATCACGCTGAATGAGACCCCGACGATACGTGCGCCGTTGACATCATTGCACAGCATGGGAGGTTACCGTGGATAATTACTCGCAGTTTCTGAAGGTAATTTCAAGCGGACAGTGGTTGAACCAAGCTAGGCTCCACGGATTAACCTATAGAACCACGTCATCTAGTGGCTCTACATCAGCACTCTTCTCTACAACCCGACGGTCTATCTCACAAAGACCACGCTTCTGCTTTTAACAGCCCGCGCCTTTGCCGTTTACGAACGAGTGGCTCTCGGCCTGCGCGTCTTCATATTCGCGGTGCTGATCGCCTACATTCCGATCCAGATCGTCAAGACTGTTGTTTGCAGACCCATCCGGGCGTACTGGGATACCTCCATTAAGAACGCCCACTGCCTCGGGCAACGGCAGGCCTTCATATACGATATCTCCGTGGCTCTATTTACCGACGCTTTGATTCTGATCGTACCGATACCCCTAACCTGGTCCCTCTCGATGCCGCTTATCAAGAAGGTCAAGATAGCCGTGATTTTGGGAGCAGGAGGAGTGGCGATGGGCGTGTTGATTTTCCGAGCGTTAGTATCTCAATGCCGTCATATCGTCACAATAGACTGTTGATGTTCACTCTTGCAGATACAAATGCGTCCTGTTCCTGGATTCGAACGACGTCACGGCAGACTTTGGAATATTGGATCTGACCTGGTGAGTAAAGGGCAACTTGTGCTGGACCAATTTTCAACCAATGTTTTCACTATATGAATACACTTACTCATTAAACGAATGACACAAGCTGCATGGAAATCTCGATCGGCCTGATCTGTGCCAGCCTCCCGTCCATCAACATGCTCATGGAACGGACCTGGCCTGCGAAGGCATCTGCGCAAGCAAATTGCCCACGAACCCCCCTGATGCGCAGAATGAACTACTTAGATACTCTGCAGGGGCAGCTCACTTCGTCAAAACCGATAACATTGACTAATTGTTTAATGTCCCAGAACCACATGAATATCGATTTGGAATCGCGCATGTGCGCCGGACAACAACGACAGCTTGGGGATAACGACTCGTTGCCGCCAGGCCAACAGGAGGATAAGAATCCTGGGAACCAGCAAATAGACAGGGGGCCGTGAAAATAATGCGTAACAAAGTAGGCCGGCGTGCCACGAAACGCGGAAAAGGGGAAGAGGTCATACGCATGTATTTGGCCTAGGCCCCTAGGCCTCAGAACCGATATGTTAATATAATAAACCAATGAATGCACATATTCACATAACGAGAAATTTAAATGATCGCGTTTCCATTCAAGGGCTCTCTCGGACAGTACGAAGAATACACCAACAGACACTAACTTCATATAGATGCAATTCGAATCAAGGGCTAAAGGGAGCTGGGGGCTTAGTTGGAGAAGCTGATGAACTTGGATGCTAACTAGCTCGTCACGGCTTCCGCTGTCAACGCTGTGCAGAAGTGTGATGCAGTAAACGTGGCTCAACATTATTATCCCGTCATGTTGATCCATCGCCACGAACGTCGCTGCCATGATTTTCTCGTTGGATTGGCGAACAGTCGAATCAAGAAGAACGCAAATGTGTAGGAAAGATTGAATTAGCGCTGTCGTACTACTGGGGGTGGAGTGCGCTAGTTGATGTGGTGTGGCCATACCCACGGGGTAAAAGCCCGTGGCCGAGGAATGACATATGCCTTCGTGTTATTAACAGCCACAAATGAAGCCTTTGGGTTGGGGGAAGCGAGACACGAGCTAAAGGCTACACACTACTTATAAAGAGAGTATCGTAACGTCATTCTGCTCAACATGCGATTGGACTGGCTCGACAAGCTGGGAAATTGAAGCCTTTGTCCACTGTCCACCTTCATATTAATGCCGGACCTCCGCCCGGAACACCCGAGTGGATATTCCCTCGGGATATTTGTATGACCGATAATTCCAGTGATGATATAGCCTTTGGATGTCCAAGGATTGTACATCATCGCGCTGCGTTCTCTTCCCAGCACTGCCGACTCGACTCAATCTTGATACCATGGATAACGTGGTAAGATCTTGTGCCTTCAAAGTGAGAGAGGTCAACTGACCAAACAAATAGACTATCCCACCGGAAGCTCGCTTGAACGTCACTATCGTAGGGGCGGGCCTTGGCGGCCTCTCAGCAGCCATCTCCAGTGCACTAGCTGGCCATTCTGTCCGAGTCATAGAATCTGCAAAGGAACTCAGTGAAGTAAAAGAAATTGCTGCCTATTCTCGCACCCAAAGCATGACACTCATAAAACGCCATTCAGATCGGAGCCGGCCTACAAATCAGTCCCAACGGATCCCGTCTCCTACAATACTGGGGCCTCCCCCCATCCTTCTGGTCTACCATCGCTGAACCCACCGAATTAACCGTCCACAGCTATTCCGGCGAAGTCCTCACCCACGCCTCCGGTTTCGACAAGGATATCCGGCAAAAGTACCAAGCACCCTTCATCGACGTACACCGCGCCGACTTGCAACGAGCGCTGTATGAGCGCGCCGTCGAACTGGGCGTATTGTTCATTTTTGGATGGCGGGTTCAGAACGTCGATTTCCAAACCCCGTCTGTGACTAGTGCCACAGGCGAGACGCTGGAATGTGATCTTGTCGTGGCGGCTGACGGTTTGTGGTCAAGTTGTCGGAAGGCATTTTTGGGCGATGCTGATGAGCCGCCTAACCCGACAGGGGATCTGGCGTATCGGATTGTACTGCGTGTGGATGAGATTGAGGATGAGGAGTTGAGGAGATGGGTACGGAACCCTACGGTGCATTTCTGGATTGGACCCGGATCGCATGTGGTATATTACTCCGTGAGGAGTGGGAACATGTGCAATATCGTGCTGCTGGTGCCGGATGATCTGCCGCCGGACGTGGCGAGGCAGGCGGGGTCGGTGGATGAGATGAAGAGGTTGTTTGAGGGGTGGGATCCGATGTGAGTAATTTGACGGAGGTTTTCGATCAAAGACGAATCACTGACCATCGAGGTAGTTTGATGAGGTTCCTCAGTTATGTGAATAAGGTGGAGAAGTGGAAACTCCTGCATCGTATGCCCTCTCATCCCGTGGCTACGGTTCCTTATTATCTAACAGATCCATAGTCAAAGAGATGAAAAGTTGGGTCAGCAAGGAGTCAACCGTCGTGTTCATGTAAGTCGACGACGCTCTCCGTTTGGGCATATGATTGTAATTGACAGTTTTAGGGGCGACTCTTGCCACGCAATGCTCCCCTACCTAGCCCAAGGCGCAAATTCGTCCCTCGAAGACGGCGCAGTCCTTGGAACACTTCTAGGGAGGCTAAAGACCCGAGACGAACTGCCCAGAGTCCTACGGGCATACGAAAACCAGCGCAAAACGCGTGGAGAGGCCATCGTGCGAGAGACGTTTAAACAGGTATGTCGCACCAAATTGCCACTTAGGGTTGAGGATATCCATACTGACATGATCTATTATGTGACAGCAAGACTCATTCCACATGCAGAACGGACCAGAACAAGAAGCCCGCGATGAGTTACTCCGGTTGGGTCCGGGATGTTCGGAGTCATCACCCTATTTCCCGAGTCGATGGTCAGTAGGAAACCTGCATGTTGAGTTGAAGCATTGTCTAACGGTCATCACAGGACTTGTCCCAAAGTACAACCCTGGCTGTTTGGATATGATGCGATCTCAGATGCACAAAACGCGGTTTTGTAAGACTTGATTATATCTTTATTACAGACGACAGGTACATGATGTCAGTTTAAGATTTTGGAAAACTCTACGATGGAAGCTTCTTCTCTTTTTCAACCTCGGCTTTGACTTCCTCGTCATATGTCGGGTAGTTGGTGTACCCGTTTTCCCTTATCCCATCCCACGAACCGTAGAATCGACTTCTGTCGGGTGTAGCCAGAGGGTGTCCGTTACGGATCCTGTCGAAATGTTATTACTCGTCCTGATTAATGTTCATTCCTTTTCAATCAACTCACCTCTCCGACAGATCAGGGTTGCTCGTGAACCACTTCGCAAATACCACTGCATCCCACCCCTTCCTCTCGACGGCCTCGACGGCGTTCTTGTCATCCCAGCCTCCACATGATATGCATGGTATCCCCTTCTCGCTCAAGATCTGTCTAAACAGCTCATTTGACACCTCGGGCAAGCTCCACGACTTGTAAAAGCCCTCCTTCTCGGCTTCAGAATCGATGCGGTCGAACCTAGGCTCAATGAAATGAGCATATGAGAGTTTATTGTCTCCCTGGTACGTATGTGCGAGCTGTTGACACAAGTACGACCATGTCTCGACTCGCTTGGTGCCTCTGGTGTGTTGGTACAACCCCGTCGGCTCCATGCGTATGGCCAAGTTGGCAGGACCGATGGCATTTGCCAGTGCAGCGGTGAGCTCCAAGACGAACCTGCATCGCTTTTCTGGCGTGCCACCGTACTCATCTGTCCGGTCATTGATGTTTGAGTGGAGAAACTGATCCAGCACTGTCTCAGATCAATGGGATTGCTCTCTTGGCCAGGATTATGTTGCTGGGACTCACAATTCCCATTGCCACCATTAATCTCCACCCCATCGAACCCAACCTCCATCGCTCTCCTCGCCGCCTTGACAAAATCCTCAATTGTCTTCCCAATCTGCTCCTTGGACAACTCTACCGGCGGATGGTCCTGATACGCTACCTTTTTCTTCGTAAACGGAGTCCGAAATGGAAACTTTTCATCCGTATCCCACCGCGTCGCAGCCGCGCTCACCGGAACCGTCCCCGTAAATTGCGGTACCGTTGCCCGACCTGCGTGCCATATCTGTGCGTAGATAAACCCCCCTTTAGCATGCACGGCCTCGACGGCTTTCCTCCAACCGGGAAGCTGGGACTCGTCGAATAGTCCGGGAACGTTGGGCATGCCGCTCGCTTCGATGGAAGGCGGGATTCCCTCTGTAATCAGCAGGCCACCAGGGGAGGCACGTTGGCTGTAGTATAGGGCGACGAGGTCGTCGGCTAGCCAGATGCGGTTGGGTGCCTCCGGAGTACCCTCTGAAAAGGGCATACCGCGGTTTCGGGTCATGGGGCCCATGATAATGCGGTGTTGGAGATGGATTCGGCCATTGGCGATGGTTATAGGAGTGAAGAGTTTGGATGTACTGGCCATTTTGCTTTGGTATGATGCCGAGTATAGATGGCAGCTTTATTGGAACACGGGAAGGCCAACTGCCTGCTTGGGTATCAATCTGCCTACTTTACAAACGTGATGCCCCTTGGTTTGGATTGGGGCAGTTGTTGGTGATGAGGAGCGGCATGTCCGACGGTATCCACAAGCCGATTGCGTGAGCTCCGGCTGTGGTTGCGACATCAGATCCGATAGCGGCAAGTTATGGCAACTTGGATGTGATCTGATTTCTCATCTTACATATCCCGGAACAAAACCTCTGATGTTGCAGTAGCCCTGATATGCTCAAATGTGATCAGCGCCTCCAAAAAGGCAGCCAAGACGTGTGCCATTCTGTACGCAAGGCCCATATGACCACATTCACTCTTTTAAACTTGGAGGAGATACAGACCACGTCAATTCAATGCAGCACTACTTGCTTACAATAAGTCCAATAGTTGTACTTACGATAGAGATATATGCAGAGGCTCTTTGCTGACCCTAATCGCATAAGAAGGTGTAGCTAAAAATGAATATTTATTAAGGAGTCTCAAAGATTGAATGTGTCTCTGATCTCCCCAAATCCAAAGGGTTGAAGGTGGCCATAAGGGCCTTAAGTACAGAAAAGTTTGCGTTTTAGCTGCACACTTAAATCAGTTGCTGATAAACCAGAAGTTTCGTTTCTGAAGTTCTAACAATTGGCCCCAATGTTACGTTGGTGTTAGGCAACCTTGGTGGGCTTTGCCAAGACCACCAAGGTTACCACGTGACTTAGCCCTTCGGGACTAAGTCCAACCTTCGTGCTCCATAGGACTAGATAGAATGTCATGCTTTTACAACCTCACAAATCTTTGACCACCTTTGCGTGTAACAGGTGGTTTCCACCATTGATCTCCGTTATCTTTGTGATCGTCAATGCAATACGCAGCAGATAGTTCGGTACCTACTGCTTGATGTGACATTACGAAAGGAGGATTATTGTTATAGTGCCTCCGCATAGAAGTCGGTAGAAAAATGTATATGTCATCCGCATCTTGGTCGGGACTAATTAGCAGCTTTGGGTTCTCCAAGCGCTAAGGAGGGTATTAGAAATGAGTCAAACTTTTTATCTACGTTATCTGTTAGTATTTAGCTGGAACGCTTAGTTAGCAGCTAAGTTAGGGTTAAGAGGACATTTGGACGAAGAGCATGGTTTCTTACCTAGACGCGGCTGGGGCTCCTATTATGCCCCAAAGTTATAGGGGCAGGATCGTATATCCGCTTTGGCCAAGTCAAGCAGAACGTCACTGAAAGCCGCTAGTCGAATCATGTACGAGGATAAAAGCAGACCTGCAACGGTCCGCGTCTTGGAGTGGAACGAGCGCAGAAGTTCCATATCAGCCAGACTTCCATAAGTCCCCTCTTGGTAGTTTTGATGATGGGACAGTATCTGAATAGCCGCAGTTGGAGGACTTAATATAAGATGATCGTAGGGAGATAAACGTAAGTAAGTGACTCGATCCTCTCTTAAGAAGTAACCTATGTCTTTGCTTACCAAGCTAGAGTTACAAAGTGCCCCATATCCAGGTCAGTTTTCCAGCTTTTTAATTATATCTGCATAAGATTACGGGAGGACTGCAATACCTTTTGAGACCAATTACTCGTTGCTTCGGAGTTGGGTTTCTCAGTGGGCATTCCGACATCATCACCGTAGCCTGCGGTAATTCCTGTCCGTCATCAATTTCTATAAAGCTAGGCTAACTTATGTCGAAGGTCTCAAATATATTCGTTAATAGGGGGTTTACGCCTCGTAAAAGGACGGGCGAGCTCCTTCCGGAAGAGAGCCAAGGGGATAGGATATATACCGAATAACCCATTTGGAAGGGGGATAGATATCCAGAGGTTGTTTATACAATAATTTACCTTTGACGCAGTAACGAATATCTTTAGCTACTTCTCTTATTCGGTAATTATAGTAGGTAGTTGTCCGGTTACTTCTCTCGTTCGGCGGAGTGAGCGTTAACTGCTCCAAGTACCTAGCTCGTACTAAAACTAGTAAGTTACCGTATTTCCTTGGACCCGCAACAGTGGCTTCTGCGAGAAGTCGCTAGAGGTGTGGAGGTCAACCCTCGCAGACTCACTACAACCAGGTGACTTGCAGCTGGAGCACCTGCCATGGCAGTGCCAGATGGGAAGCCAATCATAACCCCTGCAGGAGCCCCGCCAAGCGTGGACGACTTAGTCGCGCTCCCTCAAACCTAAGTTTGTGATCTTCTTTCCTTCGCTCCTTAGAGTAGAATCTTCGTCGATAGCACCTAATCGAGGTCTCTACCAATGCGATGCAACCCAGGTCGTGACAAGAGGGTGCTTTTAGGACGCGGGGGTAATGAACTGGCGGGAGAAAACTGTAGGTTCTTATGTAGGAAATTTTAGCGAGATTAGGTCGAGATGTCTACTTACGAGCCTTAGCAGTATAGCATACATCGAGTAGTAGGTGTCAGGGTACGGCTAGGCCGAAGGCAATAGTACAGAGTGATGGGGAGTAACGGGCGTCCCTCCTACGTAATACCGGGTGGTCACTGGCGGTCTCAGGTAGGGGTGCCCACGGTGATGCATTGATATCTGCCCTCTCTATCTTCCTCCGTCTCGACTCCTTACTTATAGCCAGCCGAGGTTCTCTCTTGGATTCTGGATGTTTGCTTCCGTATGTCTGTGTTCCTCCGACTTCGGCCAATATCTTGGACAGCGGCTCCTTATCTGCAACCAAGCGATTCCCTATCCGTTGCAAACGGCTTCCTACCTGGTGGAAGCCGGCCCGCCTCGGATGACACTTGTGGCTCTGACAACTCCTTCCCTATCCTACTTCGAGATGGTCCTTATATAGATAGCTAGGCCGCCGCTTGGACCCGGCATAACAGCAGGGTCGGCGATGCCAAGTATCTTGACTCTCGTCATCCCAAAGCTTCACATAGATTGTAATCATGACTCGGGAGTCTTTTGTCCGAAACACCCCTCCGGCGGCCCGCCGGTGTCCTGCGTTCAGTGTCCTGACACCCACTGGTGCCTATGGCATTCTGTTCTCTGACAACGCCGAGGGAGTATCTGGCTTAGTCTCGAGTATTAAGATAGTAATAACTATCGAGACCGCACAGTTCCTCCTAATACTAGCTTCACGTTACTAAACCTAGATATCCTGTTGGAGTCTATAAAACGTATAGTACCATTTAATTCGACCCCCTGGCCGTAATCGAAGTTAGAGCGTACGAGTATCAACTCTTTCAGTATCAACGTGCCCAAATACTTACGTTACCCTAGACTCGATACTAACTTGAACACGGTACTCATCTTCCGGTACCCGACTAACAAGGCCTAGCTCCTACTATACTCGGCGAAATTTCCTAAGTCGCTTACTAAGATATCTGAAGGATACGCTAAATCCGCTTAGGAGTACCTGGAAAGAGTTAGTGACCTAGCTTACACTTTGGATTTTAAGTAAGAGTACCTAACTACAAGTCAACCAAAATGATACATCATCTATAAAACTCTGCATTCTTACCAATCTTACTATCATAGAATCCTGGATTCCCGTATGCAGTCGTTCAAGGATGTCTCACTACTTGCAGAGTTCTCTTGGCCCCCTGTCAAGGTTATTTTTGATTATGAGGCCAAACCTCCACAATCAGCTTCAAAAGGCCTCAACCGGCCCGTATGATCATAATAGTCTGGCCCTCAAGATCATATTTGCAGTCTATTCGACCATAGATCGTTCAGTTCACATAATCAATATAGCAAGCAGTCACTCATTCTTCTATTCCTAATACCCCCTTGAAGTGGTATTGAACCTTGCGCACCCAAATCCCTCGACTATTGCCAACCTTCTGTATATGGCCTGATACTTGTTGGACTTATTGTGTCAATGCGCCGGGTGCGTGGCGCTGGTGGGGAGCCGGCGCGTGGCCTGTGGGTCACAGAACATTGTGGAAGGCGGCGGGATATCGTGGAATATCGTGGAACCCGAGTGATCGGGCATTGAAATTCCGAATAGAGGATGGCTTATAAGGGCAGCGTCTCACAGGAGGGAGAAGAGGCCTGAGCCACTAATCTAATCTGGGCGGTGATCAACAGCGATAACTCCCGTTTCTCCCCTTCACTCTGTACGTTTGCCTTGTGGTCTAGCCGTTCCTGACACATTGCAGGCTATAACGAAGCATAAGATTCCTTGTGTCTCTGATATCCTCAAGACCAAAGGAGTGAAGGCGGCCATAATGACCTTGAGTGCAGAAAAGTGAGCCTCTTGGCTGCTTACACCAGAGCAAGTTATGGACTCTAAATCAGCCATCGTCGAGCAGGAACGAGCACGAACGAGCTAGAAAAAAAAGGCTGGTACGCGCCGAAAATAATCACCACTCGGCGACTAAGTCCGCATCACACAATAACGATGGGCTGACTTCGTGAAATTGTGTAGTTTTGTGTAATGACGTTCGTAAGCCTAAACTCGCTCGCTTAATGAATTTGATGAGCCGGGGAGACTAGTTCAATTCAATACAACGTTATTTGCACTAACAAGTCTGATAAGCGTCCGAACCATGCACGCGCATGACTCGAGAAGCAGTATCGCGAGATCGACTCGTGGCAAACATTTGCCAAGTTCTTTATACAACGCGGAACCGGAGATAGCATGAGAAAAACCACTTTTTAGATTTAAGAGCGCCTCCTTTGTCAGCTTGCAGATGCTTTCCGTCACGGGAATCTGGTAACTGGCTGGATTCGACATCTTCTCGCAGGTGGAATACACTAAAATTCCCGTTTTGGGCAACCTCTCGACTAACTTCCTGATATGATCATTGACGGCCGGTTCATGTGCACCATCGTCGCTTTCTTCCGCCCGCTGAGACGGTGTTATAGACGTCATCAGTATCAGTAGAAGTTCCCAGCGCGAGGACTACAGCTCTCTTGTAGATCTTGGAGGGATAAGTATCTCGTTCAACGCAAATTTGACCGTCCCCATGTCCAATGGGTTATCC